CTGCTAATGCTCACGTTTAAAAAGAGTTGCTTTTTTTCGGGGTAAACTTCGTCACAAACTTTAAGTATACCGTTTTTAATGAAATCCCCCTTCCCCCTCCATGTCCATGTTCTTGTTTGCGTGTTTCGTTTCATGATGTCGTCTCAGATTACACTATTTCAATCGCGCCACACTTTCTCCACACAGAAGACACACAGGTTTTCCAGCTACGTCCATGAACATGTTCTTCGACTCTCACCTTGTTTGAAACCCCCGGTTCTCAGTGTCCACCTTCCGTTTTGCCATTTTTGATGGGTATCTGAAAGCTAATGTCACTGTAATGGGAACGACTGCTTGACGAATAAATATTTAAATAAAGCGGCCGACTGCTTGGCGCGTCACCGTTGCATTGTGGGAAATGTAGTTTTGGTGCGTGTAAAAGCTCTGCGGGCTCTCGGCTTGCTGCGGACCGCGGGCCGGGTCTAATAATAAATCAATATCATCCCAGGGGCCACTGAAAACATTCTCGCGGGCCGGATTTGGCCCGCGGGCCGGCACTTTGACATATGTGACTTAAAGCATTCAATCAATCTGCCATGCATGTTTTTGGAATGTGGGAGGAAACCAGAGTACCCAGAGAAAACCCACGCCGGCACAGGAGGAACATACAAACTCCACACCAGAAGTGTGTGTGTGTGTGTTTGTGTGTGTGTGTACTGTATATAAACAGTTCAAGGGCCCTTAACCTGATAACTGTCCATGCGACCCTTGGTGGCAAATAATGTTTTATTTTTTGGTGGCAAATTATTTATTTGCAATAACTGTTGATGAGTCTTGCATTGCTTTGGAGGAATTCTGGCTCACTCTTCTTTGAAAACTCTCTTATTGAAGAGTTTTTAAGCTTGGAATGCTCACACTTCGGCTGAATACCCAATTGAATGATGTCCATGGAGCGACTTGGCCGTGCCAAAAAAACGTGATTTTATTTTTTGGGCCATTCAGAGGTGGTTTTGCTGGTATGTTTTGGGTCATTGACGACATGCACAACCCAAGGGTGCTGGAGCTTGAGGGTATAAACTGATGGCCAGACATTTTGCCATCATGTTTGACTGTTGGCATCAGTCGTGTAACTCGGATGTGAAGAGTACTCTCATGTAGGCGTGTGTATTTGTCACCGGAGGTAATTTTTATTTTAAATACATCAATCTGGCCTGCAGTACTTTGAGGGTCACATGACAATCATGTGCCAAACAATATCCTTCAGCAGTGGTTCACAAAGTGCGGTACAATGAAAAACAGTGAAACATGATCGCAATGCGTGCAACTGATGTCCGAACTTCTTGTTTTTTTTTTTTATTTTTATTTTTTATGTAAATCTTTTTTACATAATTTTTCCAATGTATGTGCAACTCCCTCCCATCTTTTTTTTTTTTTAAAGCAGTCTTGCTGAGTACAATTCAGTTGTATTTAAAGTAAAATTACAATGCATTTGCATTTAATCATTTTTAAAAATTGTTTTTAAATAACATTTATTAAGGTAAATTTTAATGTCGCTTTTATGTGCAACATTTTAATGGAATACCCAAGTAGTTTTTTGAATTCCTATGTTCAAGCACAATGTTTATGTTCCAACTGCACATAATGGTACTTATAATAAATAATAAATTGCACAGACTGTTTAGGAATACATTCCGTGCTTTGTTTGTCATGAATTCGCAGCGTTAACTGTATAAGTTATCATTTCTTCAGCTTCCCTTTGTCGACTCGACCTCACCCATGAACATTGATTTGACCTGACATTTCCTTTCCAAATTCAGATGCACTTTTATCAAGTACACGTGCTCTTGGCTTGCCTGTCTCTTTTCTCACTGCACCTTCAGACAGCCTTGCATCTAAAGCAGAAGATCGCCTCTTCAGAAAGCTCTTCAGGAGGTACAACCAGTTCATCAGACCGGTGGAGAATGTCTCAGACCCTGTCACGGTGGAGTTTGAAGTTTCCATCTCACAGCTGGTCAAAGTTGTAAGTTAAACTCACACAGACGCTGAATAAATATGATCATTTATTTACACGGGTTCTGCTCATGGTATGGCACAGGGCTGGCTCGCTCATTAGCTGAACTGGGCAGATGCGCTGTGCATTCTAGGTGGCGCAAAAAATCGTGTGAAGATTCACTTTCAATGTGATTATAGTCAAAGGATGAATGAAATTGTTTTTAAGGGTGGCTCGGTCGTAGACTGGGGTCACGGGTGTGCTGGAGCCTATCCCAGCTGACTTAGGGCAGTAGGCGGGGGACACCCTTGAACTGGTCAATCGCAGTATCCACATAGACAAACAACAATTCACACTTACAATCATACCTAAGGACAATTTCAGAGTGATCAATTGTGGGTCTAGGGGAGTGCAATGTATTTATATATTTTTTATATTTTTATATTTTGCGACGCACTTGGGGGTGGAGGCTCCTGCAGAATTTCGTTGTAACAAGTGTGCAATGACAATAAAGTATTCATTCATAATATACCATGCATGTTTTCGGGAATGTGGGTGGAAACCAGAGAACCTGGAGAAAACCCACACAGGCAAGAGGAAAACGTGCAAACTCCACACAGCAAGGCCGTTATGAAATGTGATCTGATCTTCATCACAACATTACAGTCAAGAAACCCAGCCTGCTCAGAGTCATACAAGACAAAACATTATGTGTTCATGTTTTCATTGAAGACACAATGTTGCTAATAGATTTTCCAAAAGCTTCACTGGGTCAGGAGTCAGCTAACTATAAGATCACAGCACGAAATTCTCAATGAGGTCAAGAACAATCTTAGGCGTGATTTCAGAAACAAAAATCATAAATCAAGAATGGATGTCATTTGAGGACACTTCAGAGGTAGCCACTGCAGTTTGGGGAAAAAAAGAAAAAAAAAAGACGGCTGCAGAGTAAGTTTGCTGAAAAGTGCCTTGGGGTTTCAACACAATAGTGGCAAAATGTTGTGTGGAGAGGAAAAAAAAAGGCACAGCACACCACCATCAAAATCTCATCTCAACTATGAAGTACTGTATAGACAAGCGGGCATCATGGTTCCACATCGCTTTGCTGCCTCAGGTCTAGAATGCATTATATCGTTGATGAGAAAATTCATTTCCAAGTTAATCAAGAAATTCTGCAGGCGAACTGAAGCCACAGACATCCCTCTGCCAATCAAAGCTGTCTAAACTGGTCCAGTCTTGACCTCAACTCAATTGAGCTGCTGTGGCATGACCTCAAGAGACCACACCAGACATCTCAAGACTATTGCAGAGCTGAATCAGTTTAGTCAAGAGAAATTGTCCAAAATTCTTCTTGACAGTTGCGCAGATCTGAGCTGCAACTGCAGGACACAAACCCGTTGTTAGAGGTGATTGCCGCCAAAGGATGCCCAACCACTTCATTTCATCAGCTCTCAATGTGATGTTTATTTGGTGTGAAAACAATAGTTGGTGTGGCCTTTGTTTAAAAAAAAGGGGGTTGTCCAGTTTGTTAATTAGATGAAAATAAGATCACATTTTATGACCAATTTATGGAGAAATGCAGGTCATTCCAAAGGTTTTTTTCTTGCAAGAGAATGTCATTCACATATGTTCTATTTTTGTTTTTAATGAACTTGGCAATGTCGTTTCTGTTGCTGAACAAGGATAGGGAGATCCAGCAGTTAAAATGAAAAAAGAAAAACTACCAATATTACATTATAATTTCATTTATATGAATGGATATATCCAATAAAGCACGAGCGTGGAAGCAAAAACATAAAGCATTTTACACCCAAGCAATAGTACTGGGACAGTCACCCACTTTCTCTTTATGGAATCCATAGGCAATATTGGACTCACTGGAAAAAAAAAAATAAAACAAGTTCACATCTTCTCTGCTTCTCTGCAGGATGAGGTCAATCAGATCATGGAAACAAATTTGTGGCTCAGGCATGTAAGTACGGGCATGCGTACACTCTCACACACATACACATCATACACACTACTGGGTAAAATAATTTGATCAAATTCCCGTGTGGACTAGCACAAGAGGTGGGCTGTCAATGTTTGTGTGGGACAAAGACACACTTGTCAAACTGTGTGCTTCTCATTTTAATTAGAAGGGTCCACAATAGCTGAGGTGAAGAGCAGCTCTACAGACTAATCAGTGTGAAAAGCCACTATTAATGCTTTAGCCTCACTCCATGCATGCCATCACGCCGTTTCCAGTTATTACTGAAATGTTAAACACAGCACTCAAGGTTGTACCAGGAAAACAAACGATTTCAGATGGATGAAATGGTCATTGCTAACATTTGCGTGTATAGTCACGCAGTTCCACTCTGCAGGTCTTTCGCCACATACGGTACACTAAACTCTTGACTTCGCCCTGCCACATACTCATTCAATCGCCATATTTGCTCTCATGGTCTGCGTGTTTTTGATAAGAGCCAAATCGACGCGTGACATTAGAGTCACAATTTTTAACTGTCCTTACATATCTGTTTGATGGTGATACCATTCAACAGAACACAGGTTGTTGCCGCGATCTTTTTCTCCACTCAAAAAGTCATTAAAATTGTCTGTAGAGGTTACTTTTGTTTGTCGAGTCTCAGCTATCTATTTTTAAGAATATCATGAGAGCGGATTAACGCCACTGTAGCAACTCTCCAGGTGATTCCATCTCCAAGCCTGTTTCTAGGTAAATTCAACTCATTCTGTAAAAACATTCTGCTCATGCTGCTGCCTCATACGTTGATCTGAACCTTGTCAAATGAGTTTAATGCATGACGTGCTTTCATACCCTCCTGGCTTGCAATGTATTTTGTGTCATACAAAATGTTTTGTATATCAGCGGATTTGAAGCGCTTCTATGTTTGCGTCAGTGTGGAATCGGTGGCATCTTATAAACAATAAGGCATCCAGCTCACCCTACCAGGAATTTCATCTCCAGTTTAACATAATCCCAGATAAATGGGAAAGGCAGTGTAGCATAAAGTGGTTAATTAAACGGCTCTCGGTTGGGACTGGGCATTAATCCGCCCGGCTAATGAAAGACTTCATCTTGATTGGCATGCAAATAGCCAAGACTAATGGATCGAGAAACATTACCTGCAGGTATGTTGACAGAATAGCAAGTGAATCCTGTCTTTTTGTTGATTGACTTGCTCCATAAAACAGATTGACTGCTCAGGACCCGGTAAATGTTTTTTTTTTTTTTTTGCTCACAGTTACACAGTCTGTGCTTCAAGCAGGCATGAATGCATTAAACCCCCGCCATACAATTATTATTTACTTTGTTTTTTGGGGGTGGGGGGGGTATGTAAATACCGGTAGTCGTTTTCTGCAAGAAGAAACAAAGCCTCAAAAGAATGTGCGCAATAAGAATACGTCATTTAAACTTTTTGTATGCATGTTGGTTTCTTGAGGGGCCTGTACAGCTTGCAGCTTTGACAGCAAAAACAGATTGATCATCGACCTCTCTTGTTGTTTTTCAGATTTGGAATGATTACAAGCTGCGATGGATGCCCGATGATTTTGATGGAATAGAGTTCATTCGAGTCCCATCAAACAAGATCTGGAGACCCGATATTGTTCTGTACAACAAGTGAGCGCGTCAATCCCATTAACCGTCTCTTTGCCACCACGAATGCATGCGTCGTGCGAGATTTGAATGACAATGGATAACAATATAGTTTATTCAGCCTCTGGTGCTACATTCTTTACATGTCTCTGAATGACACTGGAACAAACAGACTAAGAAAGTATATCTATACGTCCTCTTTTTGTGATCATAGCTGCCACAGAAGCAGAAAGATGCCACCTATTTTATCTTGTTTCTTGTTTGCATGTCGTCCTCCAGTATTTAACATGTCATCCTTGAACCTGTGTGTCCTTTTCAAATCGCCATGTCAACGCTGATGTTGTTACACGTCCGCATACTGTACACATGCGCTTCATATGCAGTGCCGTTGGGGATTTCCTGGTGGAGGATAAAACCAAGGCACTGCTCAAGTTTGATGGTACCATAACCTGGATTCCTCCCGCTATTTTCAAATCCTCCTGCCCCATGGACATCACCTACTTCCCGTTCGACTATCAGAACTGCTCAATGAAGTTCGGCTCGTGGACTTATGACAAAGCCAAAATTGACCTGGTACTTATTGGATCTAAGGTCAGTGTTCGGGACAATACACGAGGATGCAAAAGTAGATATGCAGTAGTGTCACTTCGGTGAAGTTAGTGATGTATGATGAATGTATTTTTATTCGGTATGTTAATTGAACACTCTAAATTGTCCCGAAGTATGATTGTGAGTCTGAATGGTTGTGTGTCCTGCGATATGCTGGCAACCAGTTCAGAGTGTATCTCGCCTACTGATTGAAGTCAGTTGGGAAAGGGTGCAGCACACGCACGGATTAGAAAATGGATGGATGGATAACTGAGCACCTATTTTTGCACCCCCTTTATACTGTATTTGAGTTTGTTTACAGTGAATTTAATCTTTCCTTTCTGAAGCATGTGGACACTGATCTAATTAAGTGACAAATGCTTTCAAATATCTGATATTGCCATTAAGATATCATGAATTTGAGATAGCTAATTAACTTCAAGGGCGGACGGTGTCGACTGATGAGCGCGTCGGCTTCATAGTGCAGAGGTGCAAGGTTCGATTCCAGCGGAGTTTGCATGTTCTCCCCGAGCCTGCGTGGGTTTTCACTGGATACTCTGGTTTCCTCCCACATTCCAAAAAACATGCATGGCTAGCTAATGGAACACTCCAAATTGTCCCTTGGTGTTAGTCTGAGCGTGAATGGTTGTGTGTCTAAGTGTGCCCTGCGACTGGCTTGCAGACAGTTCAGGGTGTTCCCCCGCCTACTGCTCAAAAACAGCTGGGATAGGCTCCAGCACGCCCCGCGACCCATGTGAGGATAAGCGGATCAGAAAATGGATGGATGGATAATTAACTTCACAAACTGTCAACTAACATGACTGAAGCAATTTTTTTGTCCATCAAATATAATTTGGAATTTGATGAGATGAATGTTCAACTAGTCACATCTATTATAGACAAATCAGTTCAGCACAACAATGAAATCGACCTGGTGATATGCTGACAAGCATCCAGACCCTGTAGCAGAAGCTATTTTGCAAAAAACAAAACAAAACATTTTTCGAGTAAGAAAATAATTCAGTTCCCAGTTACTACTAGGCTGGCATCCATGTTCATGTTCATCGAAGACTGTGTTCACACTGCAGGACGTGATACTCAATTCAGATATTGTGTTAAATGGGATATTTTTTTGTGTGGTCGTTCACATTACAGAAACAAACGCAACTTCTAATGTGAACGGATTGTGTCCATGAAGCACGTGCACAAAACATGACGTCACATGGTGCAGCATTTACAGAAGTAAATATGGCTCTGCGTGTAGCTTTCACTCCTGATGCATTTGCGGCAATTTCAACAATTTTGTGCTTGAACTGACCAACCCCCTCCATTTATCTGAAGGGTCTTCCTTTCGCTGCTGACTGTTTTCTTATCGTTCTCCGCCATTGTTCTTTGCACCTGCTGTTTTTTTTTTTTTTAAGAAAAAAAATTGTGCCATTTTCCACCTTTTGATAACATAGGTGGGATGAGCCTGACCTGAGCAGCCATAATGCAGTCACAACAGCTACCGTACACACATCTCCAATTTACATCCACACATCAAAGAGGCCTGGGTCAGATTTGCGAAAAAAAAAATCTATAATGTACTGTTGACATTGCATGGAAAAAAAAATCAGATACATATCACAAAGTGAAAAAAACAAACAAACAGGATTTGACCTGCAGTATGAACATAGCCTACTTGAGTGCCACCAACTTCTAAACGTTTGTAGTCGTCTCTGTTTTTGTTTCATTTAAATTCAAGTGGGTAGCTGCTGCCAAATATATCACCTTAGCAAGAAGGGATTGCGAGACAGTCTCACAAGTCAAGCACACTGTAGAGGAAACAAAAATTGCTCACCGTTGTATTGTGAATGAAAGACAAACGATGAGCATTTCATAACAAGGACTTGGAGTTACATTCTCAAGAGACCTGCATCAACAGTAACATTGATGAGCGGCATCTTGCAGACACGTGCCTTTATTATTCAGAAGAAAATCTGACGCCACTTTGATCTTAAATCTTATATAAATATTATTATCGTTGCCTTGATTATATTTGGTCTCAAAGCCTTTTAGGCAGCGGGAGTGTGCTGTTCAAGCATGCTCAAGAATTAAACCGATTTTAGGAAACTTTGCAGAAGAAAAGCAGACAAAATTTTATTCTGGTGCCAATTCTGTCACATTACCAGAAATCTAGTGGGTGCACAACCTCAGGCACTATAGTAGCTTGCATTCTATCTATATCATATAATGCGGTGCGCCCCATGTACGAAAACAGTTTTAAAATAGGCCATTCATTGAAGGTGCGCCTTATACTCCGAAGAGCCTTATAGTGTGGAAAGTATTTGGTGCAGATCCAAATTTGGATCGTTCAGACTGGCGGACAACGTCATTGATTGTGCAACTACAGCTTTGTATCCGTCATTTAGGTCAACCTCAAAGACTTCTGGGAGAGCGGTGAGTGGGAGATCATTGACGCTCCAGGCTACAAGCATGATATCAAGTACAACTGCTGCGAGGAAATCTACCCAGACATCACTTACTCCTTCTACATCCGTCGACTGCCACTCTTCTACACCATCAACCTCATCATCCCCTGCCTCCTCATCTCTTTCCTCACAGTGCTGGTTTTCTATCTCCCGTCCGACTGCGGAGAGAAGGTCACGCTCTGTATCTCCGTCCTGCTCTCCCTCACTGTATTTCTACTCGTTATCACCGAGACCATCCCCTCCACGTCGCTGGTCATCCCGCTGATTGGAGAGTATTTGCTCTTCACCATGATCTTCGTCACGCTCAGCATTGTCATTACGGTTTTCGTGTTGAACGTGCATTACCGCACCCCCATGACGCACACGATGCCCGGATGGGTGCGCTCGGTGTTTCTAAAAGTGCTGCCGAGGATTATGTTGATGCGGAGACCAACTGATGAAGACAGCAGCAAGGCTGGAGGGTTGGACGACAGTGGGGAGGCAGGAGGAGCTGGAGGGGGAGGAGGAGGCAGAGGAGCCAAGAAGAGGAAGAATAACTTGACGCAGGCAAGAGTTCCTTCATCCATTTGTGTATAAACGGGTGTGTCATGTCACAACGTGTCAAACAGAGGTACTTCTGCCAAATAGAGGAAGCAAACCCAAGTGTGCTATGTTCAAGAAAAACTACAGTACACTTCTGCTCACTGTTCTAAACAACAGTACTCTCTTCTCGTGACTGGTGTTTGTTTCTTACATTTCCTAGTCCAAACACGGTGCTTATTCCCACATTCCAAAAACATGCATGTTAGTTAAACTGAAGTCTCAAATTGCCCATTGGTGTGATTATGAGAGTGAATAGTTGTTTGTCGATTTGTGCCTGGCCTGGTGATTGACTGGTGAACAGTCCGGCGTGTACCACACTGCTTGCACAAAGTCAGAGGTAGGCTGCAGCCCACCAATTGGAATAGAAAATGGATGGATGGATTTTACTTGCTTACGTAACGTTGAATCAGTGTGTAGAATGTGTGGTGCACAGCCATTTCTGCTATAAAGCAAAGACAAAACAGAGAGCAACAACAATAAACATGATAGCTACATGCCTAAAATTGCCAGGAAAAAAAGTAAAACCCGGTGCTGGGTCCAATGCTGAGTTTCTTATATGCACATTAGGATGAGGATTTAAACCAGTTCAAGATTTGTTGGTTCAGGATTTTGAACCACCAAGGGGTTCAAAACTCCTCAAACCGCTAAGTAAAAGCTACCAAGGAAATTAGTTACCAAGTCATCACACAGTATAGCTGTGGTTAAAAAAGAAAAAAAAAAAAATTCTTTTTAAAAATTTTATGTAACAAAACCCCCCAAACATTTTTTTTTCAACATTTTCTGCTAAGAAACAATATTCCCTGGTCAGGGGTTACCATAGCAAGCCACTCGAACGATGGGCCCTATTTTTGTGCCCTGCAAAAGACTCGCGCTCAGCACAGTCTAACTTTGTGCATGGGTAGATTCTTGTTTCTTTTGGTATTTTATTTTATTGGCGAAGATAGAATAGGGCATTTTGCACTGTTTTGCTGGCACGCGCTAAGTGCATTCATATAGGTGAAATACCTAAATAGGTAAAAAGAGCTGACCTTGCGGACGATGTAGTTGGCTGTGCATGTGATGTGTACATTTAAAGACCGCCTTGTAGCCATGACCTGTGTAACCCAAGTTCCCCCATGCGCCCCTCCAAGTTGTACAGCGGGGTACTATTAAAATAGCTTTAAGATTATTATGATAATAATTGGTTCAATGAATTGACTTATACAATGATTCGGATGTCCCCCACTGTTGTCAGTACAATAACATCCGGCCACACATGTCCGCGGAGCTCAGAATCTGTCTGCCTGCACCCTGTTTAAATCCACAAAAATCGCATTATACCATCTGCGCTACCATTACGCTTGGTTTTCCAGAGTCTAAAATCTAGTCTACTTTTTTTCACCAAAATCACAGATGCGCCAGGGGCGCGGCAGTCACGTCTGCTGAAGCACCCTGTTCGCCACATACCCCTCCAGCCACCACCAAAATATTACATTAAGATTGACTTCAACTTCAGTACACAACAACTGTCCAAAATGGCGAACAGCTTCAGCTCATCAGCACACCCAAATCCAATCCTCAAACCAATATGATGGGTCAAAATATTTAACCCAACCTTGGATAAAAATAACCCAATCTGCTCAAAATCCACAGCTACTCGTTAAGTGGGTTAGGAACAACACCCATCATTTAAAATTCACTACTACGCATTTGTAAAACTATGATTCTGATGGTGTGTTCAGAACAAAATAAAGTTTCTTTACTGCAGCCAGCAGTCGAGCTGCAGACTGAGCTTGACTGAGAAGTCGATTTGCATCCCCATCGACATAAAACCTCTTTGACAGATGTTGGTTTGTTAAATTGTTCCACGGTCCTCTGGTAGATGTCAAATAACCTCATAAATGTGATTTATCTCTGATGTGGGAAGAGCTCAGTGGTGCATGCTATGGTAAAGCAGTGAACATATCGAAACCATTCATATTTTTTGTATGCATTTCCTCTTCTCACAACTGCACACTCAATTTGAGCATCTGATAGCATACTGGCTATACAAAAGTTATTCTTCAGTCTTCTCAGAGTGCTGTAAAATACTAGCTTGTTATGTATTTGTTGGTTTCATGTACAGAATTTATTTCTGTTTACACTAATAACACAGAGGACAACCCCTCATTAACTACGCTGTTGAAAAAACGTTTATTTTTGAACGTATTATCAAGAGACTGAACTTTTATTTTTTTGTTTTTGCTTTTCAGCAGGTTGGCGGGGGTTCCCTAAATTGTCTGGAGTTTGGGGACACGACATTGTCCTCCATGGAAGGCTGCGCTGGGAAAAAATGCTCTTGTCCCTGCCAGCACGGGAAGGAAAGTCCTGAATCGACAACAACTGTAAAAACGACACGTCAGCTGAGTCCACAGAGCATAAATTCAGTCGTGGCCTTCTCTGTTGTGTCACCCGAGATTAAGCAGGCCATCGAGAGCGTCAAGTATATCGCCGAGAACATGAGAAGCCGAAACGAAGCCAAAGAGGTCAGTTGTTATCCTTTGTGGCCGACACAAGTGAACTAACTCTGTCATCTCTGTAGAAATGTCATGTCTGTGCTTATAATTAGGGATGCATGAAAATGAAAATTCTTGGTCAAACCCCCCCCAAAAAGAGGAAACCAAAACAGAAAAAAAGAAAGAAAAAAATAAAAAAATGATAATATTGTCCCTTAAGACCTCCCAAAAATTCCTTGACTGGATCCTTTTTTGCACTTTGCCAAATTTGTTTTAGGCTGTTTATACTGCAGGTCAATTCAAAAAATTTTTGGGAGGGCGGTGGGGGGGCGATTTTTCATGTACCGGTGCCTTATTTTTTTCATTCCTATGTAAATAATACTTTTTTTGGTTGTTGCTGTTTTTTTTTGTTTGTTTTTTTTGTAAGTACGACCCAGACCTCTTTCATGTGTGGATATACGTAAATCTAATATGTGTCGTAATCTCAGGTCCGGTCAGGTCATCAAAAGGCAACAAATGTCACAATTGTTCAACAAAGCAAGCAGGTGCCAAAAGCAATAGTTGACAAAGCAGAAGAAAAGAGTCAGTAGTACAAATAAGATGCTATAGAACTGATGAAGATATGAGGCAACTGGTCAGTTCAATGATAAAATGCTGAACCGACCAACATTTTCTAAAGTTTGTAGTAATCCTATTGCTATTATCTCAAATGACAAAAGTCTAAATGACATTTCAATTTGGGCAATTTTTGGCCAAAATAGAATTTTTTTCAATAGCCAAATTTTTGGTGCATCCCTACTTAAAGTACAGTATGAAATATAAATCTGTAAATATGGGTGCAAATTATGTTGAATTTTTATTTTGCGGGGCGAACAACAACATTTGTACATACACTGTATCATCATTTGTTTACAATATCAAGGATTTTTCTTCATCTTGAAAAAGATTCCCCAATTATTTTGGACAGGCAGATAAAGTAGTTCATGTTGAGTTCATATTCCTTTTTGGCGTAGCTACTGTACTGTATAGTTGTACAGACCGGCCCGGAAATTCTCCGGCCGTACGAGAAAATTAACATATTTTCCAAAAAAATTGCCGAAGGCCACCCCTCTCCTGCATGTCAGTGACAAATTTAAGAGCAGGATTTATATACATCAAAAAATATATATCACATTTCACAGTTTTGTTAACCTTTTAGTCAGCTGTAGCATTCTAGGAAATATAATTGTCATAATTTTAGAATTAAATCTAATAGGAAATTCAATTTGGACACTTGATAAACCCTGCAGCGTTTTAGAGGGAAAATATGTACAGCACGGCACACAAACCCCATACATAATGTATGAATGCAAAAACACATTTAGGAGAGCTCTGCTTGATCTCAGAACACAAATGTTGCAGATTCCAGCCTGTCCCAAAACAATAGAATCATGTTATTTATAAACACACTTCTTGGAATTGAATCGTTTTTCCCTACTCACTCTTTCAGTTAAAAACGCAGCAGCTAAAAATGCCCCACAGGAGAGTAAACTTCTGGAATGCAAAATGGTATTCATCATAACAGCTATGCCAAAGCACTTCTAGTGACACTCTGATTTTCAGTGTAGAAGTGTCTGTGAAGGTGTCCATTTTTAGTGAAACAACAAGAAATTTTCAACTCCTTTATTTTTAATACCACAACTGAAATCTTTTCTGTCTTTTTGTTTTGCCCCTTCTCTGACTCGCAGGTGGAAGATGACTGGAAGTACGTTGCCATGGTGATTGACAGAATCTTCCTATGGGTTTTTGTGACCGTGTGTGTCCTGGGGACAGTGGGCCTCTTCCTTCAACCCCTTTTTGGATTCGTCTCATAACCCCTCAGCGATCAGCGTTTACTGCGACCGCGATTGGACCATTCTGAAAAAATGAACCATTTGATGACAAAACAATTGACTCAAAGAGCACTCGTTGATCATTTCCTTTTGCTTTTTTTTTTTTGCCTTTTGCATAGAGCAGCAAACATTTTTAATGCCTTAATTTTATGCTGCATATTGTTTTAATCCAACTACCCCCAAATTAGTACCATGGCATAAGAAGGCATCTTCATAAAAGTTTTATAAATAGTCTCTAAACAAGACAACTCTTACTGTTAAAGTCTGCAAGTCATTAATAAAGCAACAAATATCTGGCTTGTTCTGGCTGTTATTGTCCTTAGGCACAATTAGACTTGCATAAACTACACATGCAGTTTCTTACGCTCACCTATTTGCTAAAACTGAACTTTAGACATATGGCAGAAGTGGTCATTACAAAAGCATTAGTAGGGCTAATTTACTGTATACACCTGTTTTAGGCTGGCGCCTGCATTGTTGAAACCTGAGCCAATAATACTTAAAATGACGCTACTACTCCCCACTGGTTCTGCCAGTCATGTGTGTATTTTAATTCTCAAGTGTATGTAATTTATTATATAAAACAGTGTTGAATCCCTTGAGGGGTAATTCAATTTACACTGCTTGACAGCCTCGACAGTAGTCAGGAAGCAGACTTAGCATTTGTCCAGCCATTTCTTTTTGTCTGCAATAGCACTTGATTAGTGACCGTGCGATTCCAAAGTCATGAGCATAAAGTGACCCTCCCATGACCAAAAACTCACTAATTCGTTATGCATTTTAAAACAACCTGTTGCCCCTTCGTGGCCTTGGGGCTCCTGTCCTTGTTGCTAAAAAAAATGCTTGTGTGCTGACGCTGACTCAGCTATACTACAGAACCTTTTGATGGGGAGATCATGTATGTTTACTTCTTCTATCTGTACAGTATTTGCCAAATGAATGAGATGAAAGCAAATTGAAAAGCATTTTTAGTGCTGCGAAGAGCAGCAAAAGACACACCGAGGAAAGCCGACAAGAGGAAAACACACAATTTAAGGATGGAGGCAGACGAGCTGTTAGTGAAGCTTCTTGCTAACCACCACTAAGTTAGCATACATGAAGGTTACGTGTGGTTTTTTTCCCCCCTCTCGTCCTTTTTGAGGCATACTGTTTAAAATGGTTAAACAGATTTCAACAATGAGGAAAAAAACTTGAGCCTGATAATTCTGGTGTGCACAACCTCTTCTCTGTGGCTAAAGTAGCTACGTTGAAAAACTGTATTTAATTGACTTCAGACCAGTGACTTACAGCAACCATGTTTTTCTCTCAATCACTTTGATTGGAGTACATAATCATTCACACATTCATCGCCTTTCTGAGTCATTTTCATATAGAAGTCAGATTTGTGACGTGCACTAGCAATTAATGAATAAGGGCAGGCTGTTCTTTTTTTTTTGTAATTAGAATCCATGTGTTTCTAAATGTTCACAATGATTAACATTCCACATGTTAATTGGTTTACCCTCGAAAATATTAAATCCAATGTACTTGGTTGGTTGGTCCCAAAATAGCATTGCATTTAATCATCAAGGAATTGTTTCTAATTTGGTGCTTGTTAATTCTTGTTTTTCTTACCACTTTGGATTATGGACTTTTGATGCTTTGTGAGAAGCAGCAGTCAGGATTGCCAATAATGTATGGTAATGAAATGTGCAGTTCTGACTGCAGAGATTCAATTGAATTGGGCCTTTTTGATACACTGTATAAAGGGTTTCTAAAATGTGTTTTCCCTTTTTAATGGGTTGATTCTGAAAAACAAATAAATGTAATATTTCGCCATTGTGATATATTTCTTGTTCACCTATACAACCTACATTTGACTTATTCAACACAGATATGACTTACTGGGAGACATACAGTACTTCTCTCTTCTTAAAAGGGAACTCAAGTAAAAAAATAAATAAATTAAAATCTTGACAATAATATGTTCTATGTGCCCCTTTTGTATAAACACGGTATTCTGATTAATATTGTGTTTACGTAACAACCGACATGGCTCACCTGATTTTTGGGGTTTGGTCATGTGACATTCTCAAGCTGGGCCCCGGGGCGCTGTGATGTTATTTTCAGTCGACAGCAAGTGGCAGCACAAGGCAAAACGGCATTCCCCTGAGATGATAAAAAATAAATAAAAAGTGAATTTTTTTTCCTTCTTAATGCATATTCCACACACGCAACATCAATCAGAATACTGTGTTTAGTAGGTCCTAGAACATATTATTGTAAAGAACAGTTTTTTTGTCATGACTTCTTAAAGTGCAAAATAGGAAAGCAGATGGTTATGACTAAGAAAAGTAGGAGTTGTTAAGTGAGTGTGGGAACACTCACAATCAGACAAATTCAGCTCATATATGTACGTTTACATAATTTACAAAAATAATACAATAGACAGCTTGTTAAAAAATGAATTCATCAACAAATCTTATATAAAGATCGTTCCAGAGAATATGCAAACACTTGTCTAACATTCTCTTCACTCTTTTGCTTATATGGAGGCGGTGCTGATTTTTTTTTTACTCCCCTTGCTGAGATATCAATTTGTTTTCAGAATACTGGGGGAGGAAGAGGTAGGAAAAGAAGAAAGACAGATATGCGGTCCACAGCAGCAGGGAGGTGTTTTCTTTGATAGCTAGCAGAGGTAGAGAACAATCACATTTTTCATGCGTTGTTTCTCCCAGGCCCACTTCTAATGGAACAGTGGGAGGAGAATGCAGAGTGAACACTCTGGCATTAGTTTGTGATTTCACAACTAAATTTATCCAACTGAATTTGAACCTAGAATATTCCTCATGAATATACTTGCCAACCATAAAAGGACATTGCTCGCTGTTAATTGTTAATTTAATGAATTTCTCAAATGTTGCCACTCAGGTGTTCTGTGATATTTAATCTCTTTTCAGATGCCAGGAAGAAGTTTGAAAGTCAAACTCTGATTAAGGCTGAACTTGCCATTGCAATTTGTAACATGAATAAATGTGCTTCAAGTAAATTGTAACCCTGATAACCATGATCAGAGGTATTTTGCACCACTTTGTTTCTGATCAGATGCATGCAGTATTATCTTCCAATTTCTGTGAGTGCTTTAGACTGGAAAGTGACTTTTCAAACGTGTCCATCAATATGGAGTCCTGTGCTTGATTTGACCTCGTAGTCCTTTAGCTGTTCAACTTTCAACTTTCACAATTGATTGGCGCGTGCATCCGTGTGATGTAAAATAGGTTTTCTTGTACCGTTTTTTTTTTTTTTTTTTTTGCATTAGCACTGTATTTCTCGTCATGCTCGCAGGAGGTGAAAAAGTCTCATCGGAATTAGAGCGTGACATAACTGCACGGTGGGAGGACGTACATGTATCAATATTTCTTGTGGACACTGTGTCGCTTTCTACCTTTAATGGGGAAGCCCCCTGCCCCTTCCTTCGACAGCGGCGGTCTCTTCACCGGGACTCACTCGCAAGGTGACGCCGGCTTTGGTGACAGTACACCAGCGGGGAGCGTCTTCACAACATCGGAGCGAAGACGTGCCGTTCTCGCCGCCCCCCGTTAGTGGATTTAAATTGAACGTCAAGGTAGCGATATTTCTGCTTTCTGGAGAAATCTGGTTTGAAATCGGTTGACTTATCAACTGTCAAACGCACGATGAAGTTTGTGCTGCTCGCGTTGTGGTCGCTCCTGACTGCGGAAAAGGTTGCCGTCCAAGGTAAGAATGTGCATTTGTAGGTTTAACAAGTGCGACCCCTATGTCGGCATTTCACATCACGTAACGTGTTAATGAACTTTTTGTGATTAACATTCAACATAGGAATGGCATATATTTCTTTTGACTCAATAGCACACTGTTGATCTTTTACCAACATCTGTGTCCACCCCGACGACCTTAATGGCGGTTTCTGTGCGCTATCTGGTGTTGCACATATTGTAAACTGTAAGTGTATTTCCTGACGAACTGGTTGAATGACAGGCAAGAGGATCATGACATAGCTGGTTTGACCTCCATATGCGATTGCAGATCACTTTTTAATTGGATCACATGTTCATAAATAGTAAAGAAGTTTATTCTACAGCACAGCCAAAGGGACTGTGTTAATTTGTCTCATTCTGCTTGTCGTTACCACCCCAACTGAACAGGTAGTACAAGTGGACCACTCAATTAGTCTCTGCAAGGGAAAATATGCGCTTACAGAAATAATCTTTGATTAATATTTATATGGTCATTGTCAGCAGGTTGTATGAATTGAAGTGGCTTTTCTCGCCCTTGAGGACAACTCCATTAAAAGCCCATATGTGGCCATTTACAGTTTTACGCATGTTAAATGCTGTGGTTAACCTTTGCCAAAATTCGGTGTAATTGCATTTTGGGTAAACAAAGCCATGCATAATCAGATGCACATTATGAGCAGATTTGAAACGTACCGTTGTCATAAAATAAAAAGAGAGAAAAACTATTTGAAAAGGTCTGTCAGATCATTTTAGTCTAAAATGAAAAGAAAAAGGGTTCCCTTCTGTGTTCCCTTGCATAACAATTTGTCCTCTCAGTGGTGCATCCTACGGTGGCTCCACAAATAGCAGATGGCGGCAGTGTCTCAGGTACAACTGTTTGGCATTAATGACCTTGGATGGGTTAAATACCAAGGAGCACGGTTGTCTTACAGATTCTGTAAACAAAGACCAACACACACTAATGTGTCATGATTTATCCACAGACAATCAAACGCATCTCCCCCTCAGATAACACCCGTTGTGGTCCAATCAATATGCTGCCCTTCACCTCTGTGCTAAATGAAACAAACACATAGTCAAATAAATCCAGGTGAGGGAGAAAACAGCGTCTTTGAATTTTTTGGGGGCCCTTTTGAATTGAGGTTTTTGAGATCTAACTGCATCCAGAAGTAAAAGCTTTCAGATCACTGAAAATTCTGCAGACTTTTTCTTTAATTATGTGAATGATAGAATATCTGATGCAATGGGGTGAAATCCATCGGAGATTGAAATCAGCATTTATTCAATATCAGACACATAAACATATGAGAAGATGGCTTTGAATACACCCTATACCAGTGGTCCTCAACTAGAAATGCTGTAGGTCCACTTTTTTTTTTTTTTAATAAGACCAAGGTCCGGTCCCATGCACGGCGGTCATGGGGAGCAGGGCTATATGCCCATTTAGTATGGTTAAGCCAAACTTATACAACACTCCTCACAACCAACCAATAATGGGGTGCATGAAAATAACAATTATTCACTTTGCCAGTACACAGCAAATAATGAGAGGTATTGTGTTGAGGCACAGGAAGTCTTTTATTTTGTTAAGTTGTGCCTGCTTAATAGAAATAGCCCTTTTAGGGAAATAAGACAATTTTTACTTTAACTTTGTTAAACAGTAGTTGTCTTTTTTTTCCCTTAATTTAACAAAACAGTTTAACAAAATACTCATTTTACCAAAATAAATACTAAACATGAAAACAAAAATATCCTTTTCATTTGTACAATTCCCCTTTTCACATCCCCTCTGAAATCACTGAAAAATACAGTATATCAGAAGAGGAGTTAAGAACCATTTTAAAAACTGACACAAGGGAGCACAGGAATGTGCAGTGCTGTTCTTCCACTAAAGGTGAATGCAATGTTTGAGGCATGCAAATATTATTTGAGGACGCCATTGTGATGTTCATTTACCATGTTGCGGTGTTCTGCTGTTAAACAGCTGCAAAGATCCCCGGGTAGACGGGAGCAAAACTGCACACAATCGAAACCTCCCGTGATTCGTCTTGCCTAATTGTCTGTGTGTGGCTCTCCTGGACTGAAGCTGTGAGCACAACTGTGGCGTCGCGCATGCGTCTGCTTCCTGACACAATCATCCATTTTGAATGCGTGTGTATTGGGATAGACGCGTGCTGACGCTTATGTATGGGCACACCTTAAGTTCAGAGGAGCCAATCAGCGCATCGTTATCGGCGACATGCCCTGCTCAGCCAGGGTCTCCAGTTAGTCAAACATTATACAACACACAGTCGCACTGCTGCAGTCCTGTGCAATACATCTGTTAGTGCACGCAAAGAATAAAACGGATAATTTTAACAAGCGATCGCGGTAATGCGCAGATTATAGTTCACAAATATAAAATGTATAACGTAAAAATCACTTTATAATTTATTATTTTATACAATTTGCCGAGGGTCCGGACAGAGGAGGTCCGGACAGAGGAGGTCGGCGGTCCGGTCGTGGATCGTGGTCCGCCAGTTGAGGAAGGCTGCCCTATACCGTATTTTCCGCACTAAAAGACGCACTGGATTATGAGGCGCACCTTCAATGAATGGCTATTTTGTAAATGTTTTTCATACATTGGACGCTTTGCATTATAAGGCGCAATCTACAATGCCTCCACTAGATGGTGCTACGCTCCATCCATTCAACTTGAGAGGCGTTCATGACCGCCTCTGAAAAAAGTAAATTAACTATTACTGTACTTAAATGAAACTACGAAAATTGAAAATAATGCATCCAAACAGAAAATCCAGCGAGGAAATCACAAAATAAATTCTATATCCCCCCTACAGAATTTATTTTGTGATTTCCTCGCTTAATTTTCTTCGTGGTTTTATTGAAGTAATAATTATTATAATAATTACGTTTTTCGAAGGCGGCCATGAACGCCTCTCAAGTGGAACGGAAGAGAAGGCACGGAGACGGACAAAGGCGTACAGTACCTGTATTTGCTGAGACAGTGAAAACCATTCATAAAGTCTGTGTTAAAAAAAAATAAAACCAAAACCACAACTCTCCTTTTTTCAACAAATACAGGTGCGTCTTTGTCCGTCTCCGTGCCTTCTTTTCTTCTGGTCAACTCGAGAGGCGTTGATGACCGCCTCTGAAAAACGCATTGGCATTTCCTTGATCGTAGCTCCAACAGTACGATCAGATGTCAGTCGTAGTTATTTATTCCTTTGTTGTGTATTCACAAATGATGAAATCACAATATAAATTCTGTAGGGGGGGGGGGGCTATAGAATTTATTTTGTGATATCCTCGCTTGCTTTTCAGTTTTGATGTATTATTTTACATTTTTGTAGTTTCACTGAAGTAATTGTTTGTTTATGTTTTTTCGGAGGCGGTCGTGAACGCCTCTCGAGTTGAACGGAAGAAGGCACGGAGACAGACAAAGACGTACCTGTATTTGTTGAGACTGTTTTAAAAAATTAACACCACAGCTCTCCTTTTTTCTGCAACAAAAACTTATTTAATAAAGCAGCGACACAGTTCACTAAACCAACAGCAAGTTATAACATTGGAAGCATGTCTCCAGGAAGGAGCCATCTTGGAGTCGATGTATTACCGTAATGACCATACACAAGACGCACCGGATTTTAAGGCGCTCGGTGAGCTTTTAAGAAAATTGAAGACTTTTTGGTGCGCCCTATAGTGCGGAAAATACGGTAATTTGGGGATGCGATAACAGACAATTTGGATACAGCCACGCGCTGGACTAGACCCATCACAGCAGATTGCTTATCAGCTCTCTCCACTCCACGTCTCGATGTGTGTTTGTCGCTGTGCTGCGGTATGAAGCACAAATGTCATATGTTGCTAAATATTCAGAGCTCTTGGGTTACCGCTGATTTACTGTGGCGTCCTGTGTCGTGCAACTTCAGGACAATTACTGTGGAGCGCAGCTCGTGTCTTGTGATTCTCACTGTCGTCTGCTAGGGAGCAACAGTGGAGATATTGTGAACCACAATCGGCCCAACAATTACATAATGGCACGACGCAAATAGACATCACTTCCGCGTCTAACCTTCTACCGTCAATAAAACAAGACTATTCATGTCACTCACCACGGGAATAAAGAAGTCGGATTTAAGTGTGATTCTGTGCTGTGTGTGAATTTTGCCATGCTTGTTTACCCCTGCTTATGTATTTCCGATGAGTTGCGATGCAGACGCACGGACTAAGATTACGTTCAAACTACGGGGTGTGATGCGCAATTTGGATTTATTGATAAACACGATCTTTTTCAGATTACAAAAATGAACCTGACTTCTTAATGTGAATTTAACACGTCTGTGATGTGACATGCATGTGCACAAATGACGACGTTGAGTGACGTGGTCCCCCCCACCCCCCACCCCCTCAAATACCGTCATGTGCCGTAGTGTTTACATAAATAAATATGATCCCGTGTAGCTCCAATACCTGGTTCGGCGAGTGAGCTGCATCGCCGCACATACGAGTACTTCCTGCACTCAAAAGAGGAAGATTACTTGTGGATTGAGCATGCGTATTACACAAACCAAAGTTCCTTTCAAAGAGGGTATTTCAATTGCATTTATTTGACCAAATAATGATTGATTGTTTGATCATATAAACAACATGAAAGACAGGGAAAACAAAACCAAAGAAAAAGATATCAATCCATATCTTGGTTCAGTCCAGTTTACATGCTCAACTCAACTCAACTCAACTCAGCTCAGCTCAACGGGAGTAGGAAGAAGTAGAAAATCGTATCTCGTCCTACCCCTTGATCTCTATAATTTATTAAAAATCATGATATCATGTTAATACACAAGAGGGGGATTTATTAATTTGCACCAGTATATATCCCAAATAAGAACAAAAAACAACGCTCCTCATATTCAGGTTAGAAAAGGAGTCTTATTTGTGTTTTTAAAAACCCAAATACGAGCATAGTCAGATTTTTGCACGTTTTGAAAGATTATGTATACATTGACGGCATGTATACATAAACAGGTCCTGTGTTTAAACCTTGTCCCAGGCTTTCCTGTGGTTTGCATGCTCTCGTGTCTGCGTGGAATTCCTCTGGGTACTGTGGCTTCCTCCCACATTTCAAAAACATGGAGGGTCAGCTAACACCGAATCGCTCACAGTTTTGAGTGTGTATGAATTGTTGTTTTTCTATAACTGCACAGTGTACCGTGCCTCCCAGGAAAGTTAGCTGCGCTAGAATCAGCTCATTTATGACACTTGTCCTCAACAAGCATGACAGAATTTTTTTTTTTGATGTAAGGTATCTGCCAAGGAACAAAGAAAATCATGCCAAACAAATCATGTCAGTCATGCATCAATCCATCCTCTGCACCTTAGGGTGGTGGGTATCCCAGCAGACTAGCCGAGAGGTGGGGTACAGCCGAAACTGGACTCCAGTCAGTCACAGAGCACAATCGGACAAACAAAAATTCACATTCACATTCCCAACTATGGACAATTTAAAGTCTACAATTAACCTATGCGTGAATGTTTTTGGAATATGGTAAAGAAGCAGAGACGCAGGCACGGGGAGAACATGCACACTCCATACAGGAAGGCTGAGATTTCCCACACACACTGAACTGTGGGGTGGATTTGCTAACTAGCCGGAAACCGTGCCACCCTGCACTAGCCTCTCTGTCTTTAAAAGAGGACAACACCACCATGTGATTTAGTCTGTTGAACCGAGAGAGCCGACGTCTCGAAGATTTCTCAAGAGGAGGCAGTCATCCTTTACCGGCTGTCTCTTGCTCAGCTTGAGCGTCACTCTTTAAGTGACTGTTACGTCTTGTGCCTGACTTCACCGAGCAACTCGACTCTTCTCCCCTGGCAATGCTTCTGTCTGGGGTGATCATGTCAGCATGATCATTTTGTCAGTCTTGGGAACGTAGAGGTTTCCACTCGGCCATGAACAGCTGTCAGTGTTGGCAGTTTGGCTGTGTTTGCCTGGCACTGGCACTTCCTCATCACATCCTTCCCTTGCTTGTAAGACTCTTGAGAAATGCTTCATGTTCAGTGTGTGCGGGTTGATTGTGTTTCATTTTGCGTGTAAAGTGTTTTGTGCGTAATGTGTGAAATAGCATAGAAGGAAGAAAGTCATTGCTATCACCCAATCTAGTGCTTTCACTAAATGAACTTTCGTCCCTTCATAATTTGGTACCTCACAGGATTTGACCCAGGGCTGTAGTTCCTATAGAGCAGGGGTGTCTTCGGGCACCAGGTAGCCTCCAAGGACCACGTGAGTCTGAGAGATGTGTCAAATTTTTTTGTGCTGCTATTTTCGAGATCACACTTATATTAGTGTAAATTTAGAAATGACAATATGAAAAAAAATATATATATACAGTAATCCCTCGTTTATCGCGGGGGTTACGTTCCAAAAAGAACCAGTGATAAGTGAAATCTGTGAAGTAGGATTTATTAAAAAAAAGCAAAAAAATGTGAGAGAGACGAAATTTCACATACAGCACATTTGACAATAAAGTTGTACTTGGTACTTCATAGTCAGATTTATTTTTTACAGTTATTATACAATCCTGAACTATGTATACAATGCAGAGGCGATTGCTCTAAGACTGCAAGGGAAGCTCAGCTTCCCCTAAAATGTCAAAAACTAAGTGATCAAATATATTTGTGTACGTACAATTGTGTGGACATGTCATTGACTAAATATGCCTACAACGCGCTCAACTTTTGTTCTGAATCAGCTTCTTAAGACTGGTTACGACGCGACTCTCTTCTCATTCATTCCCGCAGCTTCACTGTGCTTTAAACTGTGTGGACTTACAGCGCGGACGCTGGGCGTCTAGAGAGTTCAGAACCCGTTGTCCCAATGCATTGAAACGAGACGAGTCATTGGATAAATGCTGCTTTTGTCCCGCCCACCGGACGCTCAGCGTCTCTGGGAGTCTATGGACAGTGGGCATTTATAGGCTGGCCAGGAAGCTCAGCTTTTCTGCATGATGATTGGATGATCTGTCTGAGTCTGAATTTCTTTTTGATTGACAGCGAAATGAGCCAATCACCGATCTTATGGTGAAGGCAACCTTCTCATTTTTTTTGAAAAGGAATGGAGAGTAGAATTCAGGTATAAATAAACGGACACATTTTATGATGTAGGCCGAAATTGAGCTTCCCCTCCTTGACAGACCAGCATCCGCCACTGATACAATGAAACCAAAGACCAAAAATTTGCAAAGGTAAATTTGGCAAGCTGTCCAGAGACGAGGTGCGGAGACTGTTCACGTCGGTCAGTGCCTTAGCCAATCAGGATGCAGAACGCAATTCACTGTTTAAAAGCATTAAAAAAACTGCACTAAAAAAATCTGTGAAACAACGAAGCCGCGGAAAGTGAACTGCGTTACAGCGAGGGATCACTGTAAATATATATATTTAAAAAAAATCAATATTGAATTACATGACCAAAACATAGCGTCGTGTAGACAAGCTAGCGGGCACAGCGATCATGACTACATTATTTAGCCTTAAATAATTTAAGCAAGTTTGTTATTTTAGAGATGTGCATTAAACTAGTAGCCCACCACATTAATCAACACCCAATAAGTAGCTCCTATTTTCAAAAAGGTTGGCGACCATTGCTGTAGTGGTTACGTACAAGTCTCCATAATCTTCTTCTGTTCATTTTATTTTATTTTTCTTCTGGTGAAGATGTTGTAATATACACATCTATGTAGAGATGATGCAAGATGACTAAGATGGCCGAGGTCAAGATTCCAGCCATACATAAGATACACAAGGGATTTGTTATTTTGCTTTTATTTTGGTTTTCTTTCTCTGCTTCCAGCTCAAGATGACTTTGAGTCACTAGCCGAGTTGGAGGATTCCTTACTGAGAAACCTCTTCCAGGGTTATCAGAAGTGGGTTCGGCCTGTGCGGCATGCCAATGACACCATTACTGTGCGCTTTGGACTCAAGATCTCACAACTGGTGGATGTGGTGAGGACGCAACACATGCGGCTACGTCTCCATTGACACAAGACATTCGTTCAGAAATCATGTTTCATTAATATGAAAAATGAATTAGGCTTACTGTACTCGAGTTGTATTTACATGTGAGTACTGAGGTCAAAACTGTGGATAAAATGTTTACCTGAAAGCAGTTGACAAACTAACTGTTTTGATAGACAGAAAGGTCTCAAGAACACACAGTAAAACGAGTCACAATCACAACCACAAAACCGAAAAACACACACACACACACACACACACACACACACACACACACACACACACACACACACACACACGCACACACACACTCTGTGGAAATCTGAGTTATTTTCCCCGACAGAGATTACCACAGCAAACCAAAGGATATGCATGGCACGGGTTTTAATCTGGATGTCCTTCCTGACATAACCCAGCCATTTTTATCCGGGTCGGCGATGCCTGGGAATCGGATGTCACCATTCACCCTGACTGGGATCACCGACTTTGCATGTTGGACCTTGGTTCCAACATGCAAAGTCAACGGTGTTACTCCCTGAGCCATCCAGCCACTTACAAAGGATTACTTGGCTTAATGTAATGCTGCTCTACATTGGAGTACATGTTAGCGTGATGCCTTATGAAGCCATTGGTTAGCATCTACTCAGTGTGGGGCTGGGGAGGAGCGTCAGGCACACAGTTAAGGTGGTACAGGCCCACCCTAAGGACCATCCCCCCGACCCAGCCCTCCAAGAACCGCGACTGAATTTGTGACTTCCATCACGCTTCTGAGCCTTACTTGTTTTTCTGAGCCTTAACTTGTTTTCTTTTGGTTCTACTAATGAGGCTCCAGCTTCCTGTGATACTGTTCTAATGCATTTTTTTTATTGTTTAGTTAGTGCTCACATGGCCTTAAGCAAAGTGTAGTGATACATACATGCACACATGCAAGAGAAGCAAAGCTACTTTATTCCGCATACAGTTAATTTAATCAAATTCAGCATTGCTTTGGCTCTCACTTTCTCATCAAACTTGTGTTTCTTGAGAAAAAAAGAAACTTTCTTCCCTTTGTTCCAACAGGATGAAAAGAACCAACTGATGACTACAAATGTCTGGCTTTGGAAGGTACGCATCAGCCTAACTAAGTTCGACGCTTCGTGCAGAAATATTAAAACTTTGCTGATACTGTGTTTTCAATGGATAATTTGTTGATGAAGTGGGACGACTGTGGGGAATTCAGGCTTGTTTAACTGTTTGACTAAAAATCACATTCTGGCTCAGGACATAATAAATGTGGCCGATTATCATTTAGAATATGAAGTCACATTATATGTTTAATTTCCTATGCTACAAAGTAGAATGTCATTCAGAATTGCTTTTTAATAACCAATTAACGAACATGCTAAATCCCTAATGATCATGAATTCACAGTACAGCTGAGCAGCTCAAATGCCCCTGTCCATGGGCCTGAATAAGTATCAGACATGAAGAAAGATATTGATAGCTTCTGTCATGTTTGAATAGGTAACATCTTGTAAAAGCTCGACAAAGCTCAAACTTTCAAGTTAATTATTTTCCAACAAACACCAAAGCGTTGGCAACATCAATCCGGTTTTTTAACTTTTTGATTTTTTTTTTTTTTGGACTGGTTCCAGGTAGAGTATATTTGTGTATCGATGTGCACTCACATCTTTTAAATCAAAACCAATTTTCCCAATTCAAAATAGTTTTCATTACACTCCTAGTAAATAAGTTAACCACCATCACTGTTCATTAGTCAAGACAATCGGATCCCCACGGACGTAAGTAGCATGAAAGGTTAATTTCCAGCCAGTTGCGAGGTCCTGAAGCCCGAGCCAAATGGAAATGTCGAATGATTGTATTAAAGACTTTTTTTTTTAAAAAAGGAATGGGTCGATGTCAAGCTGAAGTGGAATCCAGATGAATATGGCGGGATCACATCCATCCGAGTACCTTCAGAGACAATATGGCTGCCAGACATCGTACTGTATGAAAAGTGAGTGACACAATACTCCTTTTTTTTTTGCCTTTATCCTGTCTTAATGATATGTTTCGTTTCATTCCTTTCCCATCAATTGCTAGCGCGGATGGCCGGTTTGAGGGTTCCCTGATGACAAAAGCCATTGTTCGATGGGATGGGACGATAACATGGACCCCGCCTGCCAGCTACAAGTCCTCTTGCACCATGGATGTCACCTACTTTCCCTTCGACCGCCAAAACTGCTCCATGAAGTTTGGTTCCTGGACTTATGATGGAAACATGGTTGATTTGATTCTGGTGGATCATTATGTTGACCGCAAAGACTTTTTTGACAATGGCGAGTGGGAAATCCTCAATGCAACAGGAATGAAGGGAAGCAGGAGGGACGGGGTGTACTGGTACCCCTTTGTAACTTACTCCTTCATCCTCAAGAGATTGCCCTTGTTCTACACCCTCTTCCTCATCATCCCGTGCCTCGGTCTGTCCTTTCTTACTGTACTGGTCTTCTATTTACCATCAGATGAAGGAGAGAAACTGTCACTTTCCACATCTGTGTTGGTGTCACTCACTGTCTTCCTCCTGGTCATAGAGGAAATCATCCCATCATCCTCAAAGGTAACTAGCTTGAGGACTTAAACTGACACATATAGAATTTTTTTTTACAATGTGTTCATTTTTGCCTCATTGTACCCTAACGGAGACGAGTTACATCTTAAATGACTTGTAGCACAGTACAGTGGACCCCCTCTATTTGTGGGGGGTCGTTACGGGGCCGGCCTGAAAAAAGCAACCATCCCTGTATACGGTGATCCCTCGCTACTTCGCGGTTCGTTTATCGCGGGTTCAGTGCATCGCGGATTTTTTCAAACATATAAAAAAAAAAAAAGTTTTTTTTTTAATATACATGGAGTACAGTACTGTATATGTTGCTCTATGTGACTCGCTGTTGTTTTGCAGCTTCTCGCGGACCGTTTGCGGACTTAAAAAAAAATCTATATATATATTTATTTTTTTTACCTGTTTATGTTAATTGGACGCTACTTCACGGATTTTTGTTTATCGCGGGTGGTTTTGGTCCCCATTAACCGCGATAAACGAGGGATTACTCTATTGGACACCTGTTGAAAAGCCGAAAAAGAAAAAAAAATGTTACAAACTGAAATCCAATTGGAACCCCCCTCAAAAAATCCGCATATCGGTTAATCCGTAGGTGCCAAACTGCCAAACTGTGTGCATGCAATGGTATTGTGTAAATCAGTGTTTTTCAAACTTTTTTGAGCCAAGGCACACTTCTTTCATTGAAAAAATCTCGCGGCACACCACTAGCTGAAAATGTGAAAAAAAAACCAAAAACAAAAACGCTTATTTTAACAATTAACGTCTTATATTGTTACGACAGGAGAGCATTCAATTAACATTGAAGAATGACGTTATAACAGCTTGAATTGGAATCAAATGAGCACAAAGAAAGTATTTTATAATCTTTCATGTTTATCGTTTCACTGTCGTCCTGCATTCATGCGGCACAAATTCGCTTGTCTCTAGTGGTCGAAACACAAGGCAATTGGCTAGCTGTTGCTGCTCCCTAGCGGTATGGGAGGGTACTACACGATTACTTTCTTGGTGACAGACCGCACAGGCATACAAATTGGATATTATACTGCGGCACACCTGACAATGTTTCGCGGCACACTGGTGTGTCGCGGCACAGGGTTTGAAAAACACTGATGTAAATAACAAATCTTTTAAAGTGTTCCCCTCTGACTATATGGTCTCGAGACTTCTATTAGAATGCTGTTAAAAATAGGTAATTTCAAATGTAAAAAAAACAAACAGATTTTCTTTTTTACCCTTGGCAGCCATGTGTGCTATATACTTCATGACCCTCGATATCTACTAGGGTCATTGCAGCATTGCTACGGCAACAAATATAATTGAGTCTTTTGCATAGTACTATACTGATTGTTGCATAACGTGGTAATTTCCACATTCCATCCCCTCCTGAAATTAAATACTGACTATAGATGATGTCCTTTCCAGGATATTCCTTGATATGTATATATTTTTTGTCTTTCCTTACCGCAGGTGATCCCATTAATTGGAGAATACTTGCTCTTTATTATGATCTTTGTCACCTTCTCCATTATTGTAACCGTTTTCGTCATTAATGTCCATCACCGCTCCTCTGCAACCTACCACCCCATGGCTCCCTGGGTGAAGACCCTTTTCCTTCAGAGACTACCCAGGCTGCTGTGTATGCGGGGGCACACGGACAGGTAACAGGAAAACAATCCACACGTTATGTTGACTTGCATATAATAGCATGTAATTATGTATGCATCACTTATAGATACCACGACTCGGATATTGCCATAAACAGCCCTGAGCTGAAGCCTTGTAAGGGTATAGGAAAAAAACGGCCTCCTGGACAGCAGAGAAGGCCCCTGGGAGGGAAGGTGGAGGAGAATCAAGCCTGGCTTGCCATGCTGGAGAAAGCCACGCATTCTGTCCGCTACATCAGTCATCACATCAGAAAAGAGCACTTCAGCCGTGAGGTCTGTGGCTTTGAGGGATACTTTTGGATGCAATGAGGCATACTGAATTTGTTTTCACGTGCCGTGGTCAGCTCGAATGATAATAGCAATATGAACAGAACTGTTTCGGATTATGGCCGTAATTGGGGTTTCCTATCCATACAGGTTGTACAAGACTGGAAGTTTGTGGCTCAGGTGTTGGATAGGATTTTCCTGTGGGCCTTCCTCACTGTGTCAATATTAGGAACAGTCCTCATCTTCACACCAGCCTTGCAGATGTACCTCAGCTCACCATAATGAACATATACGCACTTGTGACTTTTCTTCTGGAATTCTTGTTTTTCAGAGTGCAGAGTTAGAATAAAATTTACATTCATCTTTTTTTTTTTTTTTTGTGAAAGTAAGTTCTAACCCCAAACTTGTAACCCCATTTATTAAGTAGCATGCACAACATGATGAGGACAAATAGCAATCGGCGGGTAACAGTTGCATGAATGGTTTTAAACAGCAATTTACATACAGTGTATAAATGTCACCGATGCAATACTGTAAACCGTAGAACTAATACCATTCACCAATATATTGATTTGCATCCAACACAGCCTGCTTGGCAAGGCGATGGCGCTCACTACTCTGTAATTATAAAAATGTTTTTAATAAAAAGGTGTAACGTCAACACTGAACTGTTCATTAAATTGAGAGTTGATAATTTGATGACGTATTATGTCTGACTGTAATGACATCAAATGACCACTAAAGGGCAGCAAATGCATTTTACTGCATTAATGAGCACGTCGGCAAGCTAGCTTTATTGCCAATAAAACATGAACTTCAGATTTTATTTGAGTTTCCAGAACAGCTCCCGTCTGATAAAGCAGGGATTTCTAAATTACATCCCTTGTCAAAGGACACCTAATCTGTTGTATATCACGAACAGTAGCCTACAACCACTCATTAATTTGTCTAACTCTTGTCAAACTGGCAAGAACTTTTTTTACATGAACTAATGGCACGTACTGGGCCCAAAAGTCGACCCAGGAAATTGAGATGGAGAGACCCTCGGCGCGCACGACTTAAAACCGCAGAGGCCCCGGATACTAACCTTAGAGCGGTGACGGTGATTTTAGGCCTCATCCTTTTTGTAACACACTATACAAATAATACAAGAGTCTACCGTTGAGCAGCGTGACATAGGTCTCGACCTGTCTGTCCATTCTCTTTTTTCTCCCCGAATACCAGCACGTCATACTTCTCCAAGACCAGCACCTCCTCATCACCACCACTGACTAGGGTCACCTAGTCCCTGAGTAGCACCTCCGCTAGTGACCTTCACCGCTAATGTTGTTGCTGTTAATAATTACAACAATAAACACAATAAATCACATTCTTAATACGCAAAGGCAATCCATGTATGAAAAGCTAAGAATAAATCTTTCTCTCAGACACACACACACGCCCCTCTTAAAAGCTTTCTGATGTCAGTCTAATCCAGCACATTTGTTCAGACTGTATCTCAAATACAATGTAAATATCCCTTAATTACTTAAAGTGCAATGTTGATGAACCAGCTCATCAGCAAGCTCTGAAAAAGCCTGATAATGATCCTGAATCAGGTGGGTTGGAAGAGGGAACTTCTAAACAAGCAGGACTGTGGCTCACTCACCTGTAGACCAGACTTGCCTATCCCTGGGACAGCGTTTACAAGGATTCCGTCTAGGTTGGCGAGACCTGGTCCTCCCCCGACGTTTTCTCCCCTGAAGCCAAGAAAAGCAGAATGGGAATCGAGCTCAGCCTGAGTCAAAAACAGGTGAACATTTTAAAACAATCAAAAGGAAGTTATGAGAACCTGGCTTGGAGGAAAATGGTGAATTTCTCCATTAAGAACTAGAAGAGACAAAAGCAAAAACCACTCAAGTGGAAAATTCTACCTCACAGTACGAACAGAAGACTGCAAAGCTTGAGCATCTATCCATCCCTCCATCCATTTTATGAGCCGCTTTATCCTCACAAGGGTCGTGGGGGATGCTGGAGCCTATCCTAGCTCTCTTCGGGCAGCAGGCGAGGGACACCCTTAACTGGTTACCAGGCAATCGCAGGGCACACAGAGACGAACAACCATCCGTGCTCACACTCGCACCTAGGGACAATTTAGAGTGTTCAATCAGCCTGCCATACATGTTTTTGGAATGTGAGAGGAAACCGGAGTACCCGGAGAAAACCCACGCAGGAACGGGGAGAACATGCAAACTCCACACAGGAAGGCCGGAGCCGGAATCGAACGCTGCACCTCTGCTCTGTGAGGTCACCGCGCTAACCACTGGACCACTGGGCCGCCCTAAGCTTGAGCAGAGAATCATAAATTTGGAGGAGCAACAAACGACCATGGAGAGCAACAGTCGCCGCCAAAACCTGCGTTTGCATGGTGTGCCCAAAGATGAACGAGAATCATTGAAAGAAAAAAATTGTTGCTCCTTCGGACTCTTCAGTGATGGGCAGTGCTGCTTCCAATATCATCAAAGGCTGCCACTAGAGCAGATATCAGGCCTCGGCCTATCATCATCCACTTCCATGGTGGAGAATCAAGGGATCTTGTCTGGAATGGCAGCGGATCTGATAAAGGCCAAACGGCTACGCCTCACCAAGGATCTCACGTCCAAAGACGAGGACACCGGCAGAGCATTGCGGCCTCAAGGGGACGAGGTGAGAAAGGGAAATTAACGAGCCTACTTTGAGGGAGTGAAAGCATTTTTTGATGGTAAAGAGCTAAAACTTAAAATGCGATCAAATAACATTCAACTAAAGTCCAGGGGTTCAACTTTCTTTGTAAGACAAATTAGGTAAGATGACAAGGAAATAAGTTGAACCAAACACAGAAGAAAGGTATAACTGTGAACTATTTATTCTGACTGTCGGTGCTGATGTTCTCAGCACTCTTGCATTAGAGATTTTCATTAAGAATCTTTTTCACATCACAAATCACCCAAAAATCACTTTAGAATTCACTGAGTTATTTATTATAATTTTTTTAAGTGTGCTCATGCCCAAATCACAATAAAAATAAACGACGTTCCTGTGAGTAAGGTGAACAGTCTCTTTTCGTTCAAGTTTCCTTCCAGTTCACACAAAGACATTTGTTCGTTTTTGTACTTTCTGTTTTGATACGGGTTCCGAAGGTCCGGAACTGAAGCGGATCCCACAAACGTAGACAATAAAAATCATTGAACAAATTTATATCAAAGTACAACGCAAGACCGACAAAGTACAAACGATGATGCTGGTCACAATGAACCAGGAAAAAAAACGCAACAAACAAAAAGCGCTTGCAAAAGGCAAGAAAGAAAACGCAAACATAAATTGCTTGCCACAAAAGAACAAGAGAAATCCAATTACAACACCGAATGAGAATGGCTAGAATACAAAAAAAAATACATCCTATGACAAAACAGAACAGTACCAAGAACTAAGCGGAGGTTCAGAGGGGATCGAGCCTTTTCCGTTTGCTGGTCCCTCTCTCTAGAATGTCCTCCCACTGAACATTCGGCAAGCTCCCTCGCTGCCCATCTTTAAAACCCGCCTCAAAGCTCACTTGTATTCTTTGGCATTTGACTCAGCATGACTTAGACTTCATCTTAGTTTTACTGTTTGGTGCTTTCTACCATCTTTGGTACCGATTCATTGCTTTATTGTTGTAAATATGATAGTTTCTACGTGCACAGCACGTTGTATACAGCGATGGCTGTTTTAAAATGCTCTATAAATACAGTTGAGTTGAGTTGAGTTGTGAACATGGCTAAAGGACTATCAAGCGAGATCAAGAACGTCTAAAGAATTTAGGCACTTGGTAAAAGAGTTGTGAGCAAGCGGGAATAATCAGACATCGGGTTGTCAGCGTGGCAGTCTTTTAAAAGCAGGTGATGACGAGGATAATGATGATTAGCTGGAGAACACGTCCGCCAATCCCGCCTTCTATCAAAACATAGCAGACCATGACAGTTTTGTTTAAAATAAAACAAAAAAAAAGAAAAAAAAAACGAGACTGAACGAATGACACACGGATTCAGCTCTCTTCCGTTTCACGCAACTCATGGTAGATGAAAATATCCGAATTGACTGAAATGTCCAAATCGCCCCACATCAGAAACAGGAAAATTAGTTGTTATTTTTTTTTTTTCAGTTTGGTTTTTGGAACAAAACTTGAGAAAACAAATCAGTATTTCATTTTTGTAATTTCTGTTTTGTTCCGAAAAATGAATGAGCAAATGATAAATGGATTTGAAAAGGTAAGTGAATGCAGCTAAAATCGTGGAGTAAAAGTATGGTTTCTTCTAAAAATAAACTCTTTACTCAAATCCAAGTAAAAAGTATGTATTTTTATTGTTCTCTCACTCAGCCCTAAGAGACTTATTTTGACAGACCCTCGTAGCCGCTTGCTGCACAGCGAGATTGAGACACCCACAACGAAGCCTGCACGACGAGGCCTGCCAGCTTCGTCACCAGCCCTTTCAAGCTCAACCTCTGTCACCGCCCCATTAGTTCCACCGTTTGCGCAGGAGTTTCTCATGCGGTACACGCTCGCGGCTGAACTCATCTGAAATAAGAATTTATCAGCCAATGAAGTGATTCCATTCAGTACATTAGCTCAAAAAAATTGTTTTTTTAAAGAATTATTTGCAACACTTCTTGAGCCTCGACAAAAGAAAATGCAAAATGCTCAGTACGCAAATGTGAAGGGACATACTTGAATCTGGTGAACTTATAATATTATCCGTGTTCATGTGCACCTGCGCGGAATTTTGTGCATCTCCAGCTATACTAGATGTTTAATCTCAGAAAATACTGTCAACTGAACTTTGAAATCGCGCATAAGCATGGTAACAGTTTAAATAAACAGGTATCGAGTCCATTGAGAGAAATAAAGGTACATGCTGTAGCAAGATAACCAGGCTTACACGTTCAAGCAAGAGTCCCACTCCTGCAGGCAGAGCTGAAAACCCGTTTCTTAATGTAAGCTGATGGCAGTCATCTTACAAATATGACACTGTCCCTACACTGAAGCCAGATGAAGACGTGCAAAAAGGGGAGATGAGGAGAGGAGTGTAGGGGCTGTATGCACAAAAATTAAAGCAAATGAAAGGAGGAGTGATAAATAGCGAGAGTTAAAGAAGCGCTGCGGGCGCTCTTCTAATGGTGGTAGAACAGTGCTGCATCTGCTGCGCACTGACAGTTCGGCACAAGAACAGAATGGAGAGGTGGGAGAGAAATAAACATACAGCATGGAGACAGATGGAAGGCAGACTGTGAAGGACAGAGAGGACTCAAGAGAAACGTGGAAGAAGTGATGAGAAAGGAAAATAGAATCAAAGGAGAATAAGTAATGACAACATGGATCACTTAAACACTATGGCCCCAGGCCATTGGGCCACATGAAGGAAAGTGGAATCGCGGCAGAATAGATTAGACCAGGTATACATCAATGATTTTACGACTGTTGGTATGCATGAACGTGGTCGAGGTATTAGCCGTGATATAACTTCAAACCTCAAATCAGGAGTCGTATGCACAGAGGCAGAATAGTTTATTCTGCAGTGTAAATACAGCAGATTTCTGGGTGAAGCTTACACCAACCAAGGGGTAGGTTTAAAACCAATTTATAAAAGCCATTTATAAGCAATTTACAGTGGATGTCTCAGAACTGTGGCTTCACTGTGGAGAAAATAAATCAATTTAAAAAAACGAACATTATAAATGTAAATATTCCTATTATCCATTCATCCATTATCTGAACCGCGTTATCCTCACGACGGTTGCGGGCGGGCTCGAGCCTATCCCAGCCGTCTTTGGGCAGTAGGCAGGGGACTGGTTGCCTGTCAATTTCAGAGCTAAATTTCTATTAATTAAATAAAAGTGATATATATATATATATAAATATATATTGGTGAGGTGCAGGGTTCGATTCTGGCTCCGGCCTTCCTGTGTGGAGTATGCTTATCCTCCCCGTGCCTGCGTGGATTTTTTTCCTGGCACTCCGGTTTCCTCCCACATTCCAAAAACCAGGTTAATGGAACACTCTAAATTGTAACAATGAATGTGCACCATTTGGTTGTGATCCGAATTAAGATTATGATTGAGGTGTACGTTCCACTGAGAGCCTTTTATTTTGTTGCAGGTGTCACCGCCAAAGCTATGATACTTGATCAAACATTTGTAGACCTTTTATGCATGCTGGGTGAACAAATGTGCTCAAATGGATCATTTATTGTTTAGTAAATCTCCCACTCAGGTTATCTGCTTACTCCAGGACTTGAGGTGAAAGAAGATCTGCCACATTCTGGTTCTTTCGTCATCCTCAACATGGCTATATTCTTGTAATCCGCCATTCATCATTTCATATATTACTTCAAAGTTAGTTACTGGACAAAATTGCCTAACCTCGACCGCGAGTTCTCTTCCTCTTGACTTATGAGTCCTACTCATGCACCGAGGTACTTTTTAATTGTATTTTTTTAAAATTTGTTTGGGGAAACGTGAGTGCACTACACTAACTTAAATGAAGATGATCCAGGTATAGGGGTCCATTTTCCCGTCCACGCTTAAGTCATTTGCATGGATGTAGCAAAGTATTTGCAATTTGCCTCAATTCATGACAAACTGCTTTTTTGAAGTGCCAAGATGATGTGAAGATTGAAGTAGATTTGATGATTTCAATTCTGATCTGTACTAAAGCAACTGAGCAAAATTGCAAACAGCGCTAGCTTTCTCAAGCAAATTTGCAAGTAAATTGAGACAAAAGTATCATCATTTCAGTATATATACTTTTTGTACAAATTATTACTGGGAGGTGTGCCGTGAAATATTCCTCATGATGAGTGCCTTGGCTTATTAAAGGGTGGGAAACACTGCTTTTGAAGAAGAGCACTCATCATCTTGGACAAAGTTTGGGCAAGTAGACCGGAGCAAGCAGGTGGCTGTCAAAACCTCCATACAAGATTACAGGCGTAATGTTTTTTTCAGCTAGAGACAAAGCGGTAGAGGGAGGGGGAAGGATGGAGAAAGAGAGAGAAAAGGAAGGAGAGAGAGAGAGAGAGAGAGAGAGAGAGAGAGAGAGAGAGAGAGAGACAGGGAGGGCGAGACAGTGAGAGAGCGAGTGGTCAGAGAGAGAGAGAGAGAGAGAGAGAGAGAGAGAGAGAGAGAGAGAGAGAGAGAGAGTACAGGGCTTTGATGAAGCTCACCAAGTTTGACACCTTTTGTGGACTAAAAAGGAGACCTACAACACTGCTGTGATGGAGTCACGGACGACTCGCAAATCAATACTGGCAGGATTTTACCTTTGGGCGACTTTGAGCTTTCAAGGTAGGTCATTAAATGACTCTTAACATTTGCCCATTTGTCCAGAAATAACCATACGCTTTAGCTTTATTTTATGATATTTTTGCCTCTGTTCATCAATGATGCAGACACAGACATATTCCCTGACGTGACTGTGAGTATGCGTAATATTCTAGCATGTTTAGGAATTCCATCACATCACGACAGCTGAACATATTGTGTTGTGCCTGGAGTGCGAGTGTGGGTCAGTGTGTTTGTGTGAGTCTTGCTCTTTAGACCGACAACATCTGGCTCAAAAAAAAAAAAAAAAAGGAGGGCACACCAGCGATGATGCACGCAGCCCATTGGGACTGTTCATCCCCTCTGAGTAATCTGCAGTCAAAATTAAATGCATGATTAGTGGAGCAGAAAGACCATCAGATGAAGTTAAAGCTCTTTAGCATGTTTGAACCCATGCTTTACAGTATTTGTGAGATCTGGACAATGTTGTATTATAAAGTAACACACCCCTTTTCAGGGTGGACTGGAATCTCAGCTGACTTTTGGTGAAAGCCGAGGTAGACCCTCGACTGGTCACCAGTCAATTGTTGGGCTAGTTTTAAGGCATTAAGAACAGATATTAAAACTACTGATACTGTGATATCTTATTCTGTGATGTGTTCCAGCACACTCACACACACACACACACACACACACACACACACACACACACACACACACACACACACACACACACACACACACACACACACAGAAAAGGACAGCTTGTCACTCAAAAGTAGTAACCTTATCCCACTCAGTGGCAAAGAGCCGTGGGGAAGGTAGCGAAAGTTGCTTTTTTCATCAAGGTTTGTTCAAGGTCGCAAACAGTCGTAAAGACGGTGAACCTGTTAAAAATGTCAATGCGACAAGAAAAAACTGTGCGCGACCGTTTAAACTGTTTGCGAATGGCCGGCAAACGTCTTTGCAACCTTGAAGGAACCCTGACGAAAAATCAACATTCACTTTGTTCACAAACCTAATGAAATGCAACCACTAATGTGGTTGTCAAAACGAGACCATATAGTGCATTGTATAAAGTTTTAAAATTTGTGATTGTGGTTAAACCCTTTTCCGAAAACACAAGCGCAGTTACAGTTGATAGCGCTTGGAAAATAAAGTTGCGGAAGTGACATTGAACTTTCCTAGATTTCATTCAAAAATGTGTGAAAGGATCTTAAGATTTAACTGCACTCCAAGACACAAATATTAACAATTTAATTTGTCGTCTGGTAGAGCGGTTGTCATTCTCTGTTCCTAAATTACACTGTATGCGGTTTCAAGTGGATTTGTTTGTCTATTGTATGAGGCGAATAAATTCTGGCACTCTTCTGTGTGTCATGAAAGGAAAATCTGCATCTAATTGAAGGGTTATGATCATGTGTCATGACATACTTAATGCGCTAAAAGACAATATGATTTGCAGATGCAACATTGATTGGAAACATAAAAGGATCACCCATCAAGGACAAAAATAATCATGCATAATCTGTGCGTAATGCTAGATTAAACGTTGAATTCCCGAGAGAGGGGCACGCAATGTTTTTGGTGTATCACTTGCTGTAAATTTCCATATATTCTCTTGCCATTGATCCTTTGTGTTTGCCTTTATTGTCTCCTATTGTGGGCAGTTTTGACATTTTTCAGTAGAAGGGCTTTCCTTAAAATGTCCCTCTTAGTGGGAAGTCAGTGTTGCTGCAAGGGACAAGCTGTTAGGGGCCTGCCTTTGTCTGGCACTCTAAGGTCACAATATGGTACAGACAGACAGGGGAGAACCAGTTTGGATATGTGCCATTACATCAAATGTTCTGTGAAGGAAAATCTGCATGTAGTCTAATGAAATGGTGGATGTCCATTTTCGCAACGCTATCTCACCCCTACGTGCGACATGTACACGCCTCTTTTTTTTCCAAAGTTGCAGGAGATTCCATTTTGGTTCTTTGGTCATTATCACACTTATCCTGTTTACCATCACTGGTGCACTTGAGGTTGGTTTTATGTTTTATTTTTATTTTTTACAGAAAAAGACAAGGTGAAAAGCAAAATAAACTCGTTAAGAAAATCTGGTATTGGCTTACGAAGCGCAAGTGTCACAAGATTTGCTGAAGTGTTGTAAGACAGGAGAATGTCACGTTACAGGTAGACAAGAAATGTGCTGTTGTTTGAGAATCTGTTCTTATTGCAACAGCAAACTGACGCGACAACAGTGGACTTGGGGCTAACCATTTCTTTTCTTTTATTTAATCACCTGTCCATCTGTTTGGCTCACATGCAACAACATGTTCCCGCTACATTTAAAAAAACTGAGATTTTGCAGTTCATTTTGCAGGCTTTTGAAGGAGTAGATCCAAGTTTATTTGTTCAATTTAGCATGGGAAATCTGACTAAGCAAACAAAAATCCTTTCAACTCTGCTATTTCCTGCATCTGCACAGGTCACTTAAGGGTACTATGACAGTTGGTACTGGCCTCTCACAATGCAGTTTTTCATTTCAGGGTGTGTTGTCCCAAGTTTTAAACATGTTTTAACAGGATAGGGAGATCTGTCAATTGCCACACCTGACATAAAACAGCTTCTGCCTTCCACAAAATTATCAGAGCTGCATATTTCTAACTTACCATATTTTCCTCATTGAACGGCGCACCTAAAAGCATTCAATTTTCTCAAAAGCTGACAGTGTCCCGTTATAAATGGATCAATATTCAGATTTCTTGGACGTAGTATTTAAAATGTTCTGTATAGCGCTTTGTTTCAGCTGCAGCGGTTGTGAAAGCTCTTTATAAATAAAGCTGTATTGTGTTGTATTATATTCCCTTTAGCGTAGCTCCATCCAGTGGATGCACAACACAACCGTACCCACTGTTGTGGCTTCTATTCTATGCACCTTATAATGCAGTGCACCTTATATTTGACAAAAGTTTTAAAATCGGCCATTCATTGAAGGTGCGCCTTATACTCGGAAAATACAGTAAACATTTGTTTGACTCCTCGACTTCTACACAACTTCCATCACTTCAAACTTAATTTTGCCGTGTTCTACAAAATATTTCTCACATTAAAGAGAAAAAACCCACGATATGCGATAAATTAACAACAATATGGGTTTAAGTTGTATTGCTGATGGGATGTTACGTTTTTCCCCACAGAAGGGACTTTGAGGTCCGATGAACATTTTGTGAGACCAGCCCTGTCCCTTCGGTGGTGAGGTGCAAATCAAGAGTTAGGTAAAAAAAAAAAAAAAAAACAACTAAATGGATGGATACTCAGTCAGGTATAAAATGGATGGATGAAGTGGCTTGTAGGAGATAGTTGGATTTTATGAAAGGCACCTTCAATAACTGAGACAAGGTGCCAGGGACGCACCAGACATCCCAACTAAACAACAAAAGTCTTTGTGAATTACTTGCAGGCACTCTGTTTGTGATTCAGGCTGCCCATGGACATTTTTTATCGTGACTATGTTCCTCAGGTAAAAGGAGAAATTATTTCTCTCTTTGCTGTTGACCATTCAGCACACATTTACATCGAAACGGTTTTATCTATTAATACGGCGATAAAGGCCACATAAGGAATAAAATCATTTAAAGTGTTGTTCTCATTTCCATAGCCTGATCAAGTTTATGTTTTGAGTAGGAATAAACTGCACTAAACAATGATATGATTGTGGCAGAACTCAATAGGTGCCGTTGTTGAACAAATAATTAATTTCACAAGCAAACGGAGAGATGGTTGATGGAATATTCATACAATCACCGGTTGTGTTCTGTGCAGTCTAACGTAATTCTATGTCTCACATTTTCTGATCTGTTTAAAACTGACAAACAATTAATTGGGCCTGTTTGTGATTGCCGAAGAGTTCCAATTACAGTTCAAAAAATCAGAGGGTGACAGGACCATGTTTCTCGGATCCGAGAGGACAATGAAAGTCAGACAGTACATATTGGCCGTGACTTCTAAATAAATATAGAGAAGTATTCTTGGAACAGTAACTGTGTACGCTGCTTTTTCAGTATGGTTGTTGTAAGCTTTGTTTTCTCATAGATATTTAACCATTTTCTAGACTAGCTATCCTCCTCATTAAGGTCATGGGTGAAACAGAATTCTATTCCAGCTGAGTTTGGGCGATAGGTGTGGTACACCCCGGACTAGTCGCTAGGCAATCACAAGTCACATAAAGACGAACAGACAACCACATTCACACCCGAGGACAATTTTAGGTCTTCGCTGAATCGAAACTAATGTGCATATTTTTGGAATGTGGTAAGAAGCCAGACTATCTGGAGAAAACCCATGCAAGCATGAGGAAAAATCCTTGCAGAATGGTCAGAGGCCAGATTCAAAAACACTTAAAATTGGAAAACGAATGTTAACACTAGTCCACCGTGCCACCGTCCCGGATATAATTTAATGGGTGGCACTGGGTGAATTAAACACATGGCGGAGCATTACAGGTGTTGACTCCGTGGTCTCGTGGGCATATTACTCCATGTGATGGTGGTGGCCATCGACTTGCCCAAGGTCACGTCTCATCACCTAAATGCCAACTGACCCAAATGGACCTTTTATTTTATAGAACATTGTGAGCCTGCGGGCTAAAAATTAATACATTCTCCCAGATTGTTGTGGCGGTGCCAAATGCTAGGCTACGTTTCTAAGCAGTCAGTGATAATCAGATGCATGAACAGTCCACTAGTTTGTCAGGAACTAAACTGACATGACTGCATGCAAAATTTCAACACTATTTTTCCTATTTTGATTGTGATTTGATTCACTTTTACCTTTATCTCAGAAGTGTTTTTAAGCGAATGAGGAACTTGGTCACGCATAACCCAGCAACACAATTGTGGCTGGTGAAAATGCCGAGTGGTTAATAATTCTGGCAAACCACGAGCCACAGTAGCTAGTCAGCAAATACATTGCGCCAGGCCGTGCACGTGTGTGTGTGTGTGTGTGTGTGTGTGTGTGTGCAGGTACATTTTCTTTTCATGTGTGTGGATATTACTCAATGTGTTTGGATAAAAAGTGTTACAATTTCCTTGGCAGTATCACTGCAATGTCTGATGTCAAAACTTGGAGGCGAATCTTACCATGTAATCCTTTGTTTCGTTTTGGTTTTACACTATGCACCTTTTCTGTTAGCCACACACACGCACGCACGCACGCACGCACGCACGCACGCACGCACGCACACGCACGCACACACACACACACACACACACACACACACACACACGCAAAAGAGTAAGATCACCATTGTCAATAAAGAACTGAGAAAAGCCGGACATGTGGACATGAGGGATATTTCACAGAGTGACAAAACATTTTGACTTGCAGTGCTTCGACATTGCCAAAGGGATGATGTATAGTGGGGGTACTGACTATTTAGATGAGAAAGGAATTGAGTTTCGACGCTTGCGCGAACTGCATTTGGATAGAGAGAGTGATCTGAGCTTTGCATGCGAGCTATAGTGTTGTGCTGAAATGCAAAAACTGCTTTGCCGAATGATAATTGCGTTTGGAGAATGTGCAGTGCCATGAAAAATGATTTGCCTTCTTCTGAAATTACGGCTTGTTTTTTTTTTGCATAATTTTCTCACTTTTATGCATCCCCAAAATGTAAATACAAATTTTTCATCCGGGCCCAGGTAGCTTTGAATATTTTTTTCCGCCCTTAATCACTAAAATCATAATTTGAAAACTACATTTTATGTTTACTTGGGTGAACATTGTAGTCGGAACCTTTGCGAAAAAGTTAGAATCTGGGAAGTCACGGCATTGTACATTCTGCATCAAGAAATGTGCAAAACCAATGGATAAAAAATTGATATGCAATATCAGAGGGAAGATACATTTTAGGGGCACTGACTATTTACACGAGAAAGGAGTTTAATTTTGACACGAGTTCGATAAGTATAATACGGTTGAACCTTACAACATATCTTGAGGGACTTAGCGAATCTGTACGTTATAACTGTAGTTTGTTGTAACCATTTCCGGTAAAATGGCCGTCAACAACAATGTTATATACATTCATTCATTTTCCGAACCGCTTTATCATCACTAGGGTCGCGGGGGGTGCTGGAGCCAATCCCAGCTGTCTTTGGGCAGTAGGCGGGGGACACCCTGAACCGGTTGCCAGCCAATCGCAGGGCACACAGAGACAAACAACCATCCGTGCTCACACTCACACCTAGGGACAATTTGGAGTGTTTAATCAGCCTGACCTGCATGTTTTTGGAATGTGGGAGGAAACCGGAATACCTGGAGAAAACCCACGCAAGCACGGGGAGAACATGCAAACTCCACACAGGAAGGCCGGAGCTGGAATTGAACCCGGTACCTCTGCACTGTGAAGTCGACGTGCTAACCACTTGACTACCAGGCCGCCCATGTTATATACAGTAGGAACATTTATCGATGTAAAAACAAGAACATGTAATTGAGTATCAACATGTCAATTACAAATACGTGTATACAGTATGAAGAAAAAAAATGATTTTATGAGACATGAAACAACTGTTGTGTTCCTACTTCATCTCTGGAAACATTCAGTCAGCATATGAAAAGTGCCTTCTCCAGTTCAGGATGTGCCACGCCCCTAAGCCGTTTACGATCTTCTTTCAATCTGTTGACTCGAATTCTGCCAAGATTTTGTTGCCATTACGGATGATTGTCGAAATGGTCGACTTTGCAAATTCGTAGGCTCGGTTGAGCTTCGTTTGGGAGACTGCCTTTTGAAAGTGAGAGACAATTTCAGTCTTGCTTCCGTTTACCAGATGTTTTTTCAGATCATGTGCACCATGGCTCCGGAAGTACAACCATGTATGAGTTGTTGCTAAGCAACGGAGGGGAATCCCGTGATATACATTTTGTTCATAAGCGAGGTCGTGGCGGCAATTAGTTTTCCACGGTTGGTGGCAATGAAGGACTTTTCATTATTTTGTGGGAAAAAACTGGTCATTATAATGAAGTGTACATGATAAAGCTGTTCATCGGAAGCAAAATCGGCAAATGGATCATGAATTACGTGAAATGGGGACTTTGAAATGTGAATGTTATAGGCCCTATGACCGGGGTGTCAAACATATGGCCCGCGGGCCGGAACCGGCCCCCAAGGAGGTTCGATCAGGCCCGCGGGGTAATTTAAAAGTGAAAAAATGCATACAAGACGCGGAATGAATATTTTTTAATAAGATGCAATTCATGGATTATCCACTAGGGGGCACCCTGTTTTGATCAGAGAAGAAGACGACAGCAGTCTCAGTCTGTCACTGAGACAGACCCAACGCAGCAGTAAAAGCCAGCTACCTGATTGCTAGCGAGATAGCATTAGCATCAAAGCCGTATTCTGACGGTGACTTTGTTGAACAGATTCATGATGAAGGCGGCTGAACTTGTTCATCCCAAGAAGCGACAAGCTTTTGCCAATATTAGCCTTACAAGGAAAATTATACCAGAGAGGATTTCTGACCTATCAGCAGATTTAGACATCCAATTGAAACAGAGAGTCATTTTGTCAAATGTTTTGTAAAAGATATGTTTGTTAAATTTCAACATGTTCCCAATATTCTTCTGCTTCTTTATACCAAAACAAAGGAAATACCAAAATAGCTGAAACCGCATTTCAGCATCTTATTCCTGATGTACTGTATGAGGAATTGAACATTTTGGTTGACACTTGATAAATGTCCCTTTTTTTTTCTTCATTTACGTTGAACAACGTCATGTTCATCAAGTTGTTTTCTGTTGTAGGCTGCCATGGTGGAGTATATCAGAGGAAGCTGTATCGGGACTTGATGGTCAACTATAATCGACTGGAACGTCCAGTCCAAAACGACTCTGCGCCCATCCTAGTGGAACTTGGTCTCACTTTGCTGCAGATCATTGATGTGGTGAGTGTCTTTTGATTGGGTGATAGCTATGAATTGTTTTCGACATTGAGAAAGAGGTGAAGATGTACAGTGGAACACCTCAAGTTGACTGACAGTATTTAGGTGTATTTTTTTTTCTGCAAAATCTTAGTTGAAATGCATATTGTACAGCTTGAGGAGCAGTCGACTTTAGAGATTCACATGTATCGGGTCGCCACTATGTTTGTGGATGTACTCGATTGATGACACTTATGCTCGTTTTACTGGAAATAAAAACTGAACCCACAAGTTTGAAAACCCAATGTAATGAGAATATTTATCTTTGCCTATTACTGGCTTCTCGTTTATTTACTTGCCAGTGACCTTTTTCTATTGTGATCACCGTTATTTTAAATGTCTCTACAAAAGAGTCGGCTAATTGCATTCTTGCTGAGGCTGAAGGTAAAATCGATAGCCCTGTCTTGGTTGAAAATGTTACCGTGGTCCTGTGAGCTCGGCTGGCTTTTTTGCCTGCTTGTTTTCTAAGGTATGGATGTTAAGTTATAAAACACATTGTGTCGTGTAGATGGATCACATTTATGTCAGGGAAGGAAAAAAAAAAGACTATATGTTCGGAGTGGCTACGCCTTTTGACATGTATGTGTTTTAGGAGGATATTCTGTCAACATCTCACATTGTGTTAAGGCTCTCCTTACCTGATCTTGTTCCAAACTTGTCAAGTAGGAATGCCTGTCTTCCGGTTCCCCCTCAAGTCTCACTTGAAATATTTTGTTCTGAAAGAAAAACATCTTGACTTGCTGTTAAAAGTGTGTTTTTTTGAACATTCTTTGTGCAGCCCAATTCCCTCGTTTGTATGGAGGCTCTTGCTTTCTTTTTCTCCCACATTCCAAAAACATCCGTGGCAGGTTAATGGAAGCCTCCAAATTGTCCTGAGGCGTGATTGAGAGTGAGAATGGTTGTTTGCCTATGTGGGCTCTGCGACTGGCTGGCAACCGGTTCAGGCTGTACCCCCACCTACTGCCCCAAGATGGCTGGGATAGGCTCCAGTGCGCCTGCAACCCTTGTGAGGATAAGATCATTGGATCATTCCAAAATGGATGTGTGCATAGTAGCGAGAGGGGTCCTAAAAGTCGCTAAATCTAGTGAAAATGTTGCTAAGTAGGCAACGCCACAGACACACTAAAGTTGTCACTCTTGCTCGCTACCTCGCTTGTACCAATGTTCACACGTGTGGACATAAAATAAAAGCACAACTTTCAAAATAAAAGCACCACACATTTTATGGTTTGACTTCATGGTCATTGTCAGCGCCAGTCATCGACTGTGAATGGGCTAGATGTGGCCGTCGGGTCGTACTTTGCCCAGCGCTGATCTAACAAATACCCACCTACATGCGCAATGTTGTGTGTGATCGACTAACATTGTGATATTTTATAAAGATTCCAAATAACGGGTACTAAATAGTGTGTTCACTCATGCTAACATAGAAGTGGTGAAGACTATTCCAAAGACAGTTTTACGTATTTGGTCACGCTTAATGTTTACACCATAGAAATTTTTGGGCATCACCACAAGCACAAAATGAAGGTCAGTTGCATGCTTCCTTTGGTGGATTCTTGCTTTTGGTGGGTTTCCATGTGGAGTTCCTGTTCTTGTCTCTGTGTGTATTCCCGGTTTTGCTTTGCATCTTTGTGTCTTGATTTTTGAACTTCGCTGATTTACTATTTTTTATTACGACATGCTTTGTTTGCCTTTTTGTTTTAGTTTTGGAAAGTAAATCCATTTTGTTTTGAGTTCATCGTGCAATTACCCTACCTTGCCTCACTGCACTTGGGTCCTCAGAGCTGCCACAATTGTCACAAAAATTTACTTTTCACTCGATAACGTATGAGAAAACACGATGATGGGGGAATTCAATGTTTACTGGAAAGTTGTAAATTATTAAATGTGAGTTCAAGCAAGTGTGGGTTCATGTTTCAGCGTATGTGCAGACGTGTGTGTGTAATGGCCTATGATTCTTCCATCTGGTTTTGGTTGCTCTCTAATAAGACAACTAGGGCAGCTTGATACCAGCCGCTGGCTTCTTCACCAGTTATGGACCGACTTGGCAGGGTGGTCATAGAAGTGGTCACCCTGCCTCAAGTAGCTCATAATGAAATTTGTGTTTTGTAATGTAGGCTTAGATTTTAGTTATTTTATTCTCCTTAGGACCTAAAATTGCAATTATAGGGTTGTTTTTTTCGCATGTATTTATTTATTTATTTCAGTTTGCTACTTTAACCCCCGCAACCTCTTTTCCACATGTATTTATTTATTTATTTCAGTTTGCTACTTTAACCCCCGCAACCTCTTCCTTCTCCGTCCATCCCTCTCATCTAATAGTGCCATTTTTATTCATTACTGGCGTTGGGGGTTTGTTGTTTTGAGTTCATTCCTTCCCAAAACAGTATTTTTTTTGGATTCACACACCTTGTTATTTATTAATTGTCATTGATTGATTCACACACCTTGTTATTTATTAATTGTCATTGACGCTTAGATTAGTCACTGATGGTGTAGTGGTACACTCGCCTGACTTCTGTGCGGGTAGCGTGGAAACGGTTCCCGCTCGGTGATGGTGTGAATGTGGGCGTGGAAGGTTGTCTGTCTCGATATGTATCCTGCAACTGACTGGCGACCACTTCAGGGGGTAGTTTGCCCTCCGCCGAAGTCGGGTGGGATAGGCTCCAGCAACTCACCGCCACCCTGTTCCGGATAAGCATGTGTTGAAAATGGATGGATGGACTCTTAGATTTAATTTTTCACAGAGACTTGGTATTATGATTCACTTTTCGTCTCCAACCTGCCGCCTGGTGGCAGCATTGTGGTTTAAGCTAATGAGTCAAAGCGATAGCTCATCAAATCAAGCTTATTTGACATATTAATGACGCAGTTTGCTGCAGATAACAAATGATGATGACACGACAATAATAAAAAGTGACACGATCAATCTGATTTAAAGCAGCCACGACTGAGCTGATGATTAACCAGTTTTTTTTTAATCATTCACAGCAAGTGAAGATAATTGATGTGATGTGGATGAGAATTTGAGGCCCCATAGCTAAGAACCGAAAGTGTAGGAAGACTGCACTGTAGTTGCTTTCAACATCGCCTGCACTCTCTGTCAACAAGAAATTGAACAACTTAGCGCTGACCCACGATCATCACCACTACAATGACAAAAAATACATACTTGTTCAGCCTATACAGTCCATCCCCTAACTGTACCGACTGCTCATCCCCACATGACATAACTGCAATGACGGCATTTACTGACGAGACAAATTCTATCAAGAGGAATTGTCCGGGTCTCAGATGTTCGAATTTATTTGACTTTTTATTTGACGTGTTTCCCCATAAACTGTTGAAAACAGGTTCTATTTAAGTCATGGAGCTGTAAAAGATGCCGTCATTGTCATTCAGTCACCTCAGCATCTCTGAGTCATAGGCTGCAGGTTTCCTGTCTTTATCTCACCTTCTGTTAGTCAGTCATGAAATGCTGTTTCTTTTAATTCTATCTCATTGTGCAGAATATTTTGCTGTATCTTTATCAAACATTGACTTGTAGTTATCTCACACTGCTTTTCTCTCTTCCAGGATGAGAAGAACCAGGTTTTGATCACAAATGCGTGGCTTCATCTGGTATGTCTCCCCTTTTGGTACTTTTGTGCGATCATTGCACATGAACTGTCATTTTGTATATTTTTGGAAGGTTCTACTGCTCATATTTGCTCTTTCTGAAAAAAACATTCATTGGCACCCAGAATCCGGGACTGAAAGGCAGACGAACTAACAACATGCCCCACGAGGCAGCCTCTACATCAATTATTTCCTTCGGAAATTGTTTTTAGCCCAGAACAGCCAAACTAAACTAAAACCGTGAATGCCTCAGAAGGTTTGGTCTTTTTAAGTCATGGGAAAATGTGCTGCACTCTCCAAATTCATTAGCGTACACATATTCAATCGAAGGCTTTTTGGGCTACATCTTAGAAGTTAGTTAATTGTTAATGTGACATCAGACTAGTCAGGAAGGTGCATCCTTGTCCCCCTACCCCCATCAGACTAGCACATTACGAATGTCACAGTCTACATCCGGTTTGTCTGAGTCAGCTGCTGACTGGCTCGCATGTTATGAATGATTCAGTTATTCGGGAAGCCACCTCCTTAACACAGCATCCACACAGGGCTAATGCCTAGAAGGGGCTTTGCAGATGGAGAAAATCTCCAGGAGAACCGAGAACTACAAGCCCGAGCTCACAGACAGAATGACGGCAGACAGACATCTGTACCTTTGAGGATTTTAGGATTACAGGCTCATCAGGCAATGGACATGCCATGTTCGAATGATTGGGATTTAACACGGGGTTGTAAGAGTGGAAGTGTTATCATCTTGTTTGAATTGTGCTGTTTAAGGTCTTCCATAAAGGTCCCATATGTCCAGACAAAAGAGTTCTAGTTTTTATCGTGCCCCAAACTCACATACATTGGAACTTCCGTAGATAAATGAACCAGTTTACAAGCAAAAAAAAAAGTTCTGAACAGTATTTTGGATGAAAAGTTACCTTGGTTCATGCATTATTTTGGGTTCCCAAGCTGGGCATGGCCGCGGAGGGTTCAATTGTGCCTTGTCCCGTGCCACTTAAACATCATCGGCTCCAAGCGTCACACAGTGCATGTGTCTTTGTGTATTTGTAGCTCCAAATTGTCTCTCGGTATTGCTCCAAAAAATGGTGAAAACTGCTGGCGACAGGGTTATCAGAAAGCCGAAATAGGAAACAATCATACATGAGATTATAAGGTCAACAAATGAGCATGGTGTTCATTTTTGTGAATTGCCACTATATACTGTGAATGAAACTGATGTGACTTTGTCATCTTGCTGAGCAGTTTGGTTTGTCAAAATCTACCATCTGTACTATTGCGGTTTTAATAACAATAATAATAAATAGCATCTGTATAGGGTTTTTATTAACATCCGAAGATGCTTAACCACACTAACAGGGACAAAAACAAAACAAAAAAACCCTTGGAGGGCCTATTTTGGTAAACTGGAGCCGGTGTACTCGGTGCACTGCGTTTGTGTTCACTATGGATAAAACTAGCCCAATATCACAGATTTTTATATGAATGGAGTAACAATGCCGCTTACTCGCCATAACGAGAAGCCACCAGCAGCCATCTTACATTGCCACTCGCCAACTCCGGGTAACTTGAATACATTGATTTGTCTGGGGCATTTTTATTTGATTTTCTGTCTCTGACAAAAAATGCCACTGTATGGCATGCGATTGTACCAATGAGTCAAAGAGAAGCGCTACATGTACATTTCATCATTAAGTGTACAATTATAATTTTTCTATTATAAGGTATATCTCAGAGTGCTACTCAAAGATTCTTTTGTGTCATGTTGTCTTAACGTAGAACGATCAAATGAAAGGAAAGCTCAACAGGTCAAAATCCGTTGCAAAATGTCAAGTTAACTTCTCTAAGTCACCATTTACAATACCGCGATCATTGAGTTTGAAATAGGTATTATTTTGGTATTGTTTCATAAAGGTAGACTGGTATTCAGAACTGTGAGGGTTATTTGAAAACATGAATTGTGCTTAGGTGGAAGTAAACGATAGTGTTTTACACCCTGTACAAAAAAAAAAAAATTACAAGAGTTTCTATTGAATTTATAATAACAAAAGTGACTTTTTTTTGACGAGCTGCATACATACCCTGCCAATGGGAAGGAAACTATGTGATGTAATTTTTCAAATTGTAATCTGGAATTTGAAGGGACCTACGCCACAAAGCACACAAAATATTGTCGGGTCTATGTCATTCATGAATGAACTGAACGCTAGGAAGCTGACCACAATGCATTCCAGAAGGCTGGTCAACCTTTAATATGTTTGCATTTCAAATGAATTTCCCTCGATCGACTCTAGAGTTGAATAAGTCCATATCTGTTCCTGACTACAAAGTGACTTGGAAATTCCCTTGTTTTACCATTCTGCTTCTGTTTCTTCCAGCAGTGGACGGACGTATATCTTACATGGGATACAGAGAGCTACCCTGGTGTTCAAAACTTGCGATTCCCTTCCAATTTAATATGGGCTCCAGATATTCTCCTCTACAACAGGTTTGCGATTTGAAATGACACTTTAAATTCAAAAACCTAAATCTTACAAGCATATCAAGCAAAAATTATTGAAGTGACTTGATCTTATCGAGCTGTTTGATGAATATATAGTAGCACATAGGGCACACTTTCAACAGCTTCTATGGAGTCAGAGTGGACACAAACATATTTTCGGTATCACGCTGCTGATACAACGGACAATGGTATTCCGTACAGATATTAGATTGAATTAAAAACAGGTGTCGGGAGTACCCCTGCGATGTACCTGTGCATGATCAGTCATAATACATTTCAAAGTGCAACATGGCTCACATCAACGTTGCATGTTCATAATAATGTGACCAAAATGTGAAAATTCCAGATTTCAAGATTTTGCTTTACATTTTTTGTGGTGGACAATTCAAAAATCTTGTTGAATGCCAATATGTAGGGATAGTATTTTTCCAAACAATAAACTTTAGTTTCAAAATGAAAGACAACATCAGTGATTATTTTGCTTCACATGTAACATGAAACCTACATATTGTATGCCTGTGTTGAAATACAAAAATCCCCTTAATTGCGTCCTCACTTCTACTTTCATTCAAACCTGATTCCACATGTAAATGCAAATTGTTCCCTTGCTGGTTTTATTTATTTTCCATCTAACTCCTTTGCAGCGCCGATGAGAGATTTGATGCCACTTTCCATACAAATGTACTGGTCAATGCGACAGGGTCTTGCCAGTATATCCCACCAGGTGAGACAATGAAGCATTCACTCCGCTGATGACCAAATAATGTAAATTCATCAGTCCACCGTGTGACAACTTATATGTCACCGTGCTCTCTTGTTCCAAAAAACAAAACAAAAACAACTTCTATCCAGGCATTTTAAAGAGTACCTGCTACATCGATGTGCGCTGGTTCCCATTTGACGTGCAGAAGTGCGACCTAAAATTTGGCTCTTGGACGCACAACGGCTGGTTGCTAGACCTCCAGATGATGGACGTGGACATTTCCAACTACATACCCAATGGCGAGTGGGACCTTGTTGGTAAGACGATAACAAAGATGCCTCATTTGTGGTTCTTAATTGAGTCAGTAAATTCCAATGTAGCAGTTGAAGTCCTGCAAACGGACTAACAAAAAAGACAAAAACAAAAGTATGGACCCCAAAGGATTCTGAACCTTAAATGCAGCAAACCTTGACTGCTGCATATCATCAGGGGTGTGCATAACACTTTTGGTCTGGTTCCCAAAGGAGCACCAAAAGACGTTGCTATTATGCCCATCGCAAATTGTAATCGAACTATGTGTGCCAGTGTGTCTTGTCAGAACCAGGCATGAACTCAGGACACAGTTGCAGGGCATAAAGTAAAAAGACAGATTTCTTTGAGTATCAGCGATTGTCAACTCAAAATGGCAAGGCTATGGGAGCAAGGGAAGAACTAGTCCGATCTCTGGTGAGAGACTTGGGTGCACGCACAAGGACGAAACACACTGGCACAGAACAAAGGGAGATATTAAGGACCATTTAAACACATGGTAAGGGTCAACGGGTGGAAACAATCAGGGTGGGGTGGACAATAAGACTGGCACAGGACTGGCACAACAGAAACAACCCTCACCGTGGTGTGACATTAAGAGGATTCGTGCTAGCCTTTCTCTTAACCTTGTAACCACTGGCATTTCATTTTAGGCTGTTTTTTTTGTTTGTTTGTTTTCAAAGCTTTTAACTATTTTATCTCAGTGTTTTATTTACATACGTGCACATTTAATGCAGATTATTTTTTAAGACAATGGGGATCCTATAGCTGTAAAACTTGACATAAAAGAGGAAAAACAGATCTGTTTTGTATTCTGCACCCCAAAAAATGGTTAAAAACAGATGTAACTCACCAAAAATTATGCTCCCTGGTGTAATTTCTGGTACTCATACATACACACAAAAAGCAAGCATAGCCAGCTGTTTGTGGAAATGAATGGGTAGCCATGGATGCGTGCGGTGACAGCTGGCCCAGAGATGGTTCAGTTTATTCAGGCACAGTCAGGCATCAATCTTGCCAAGAGCACACACTGCCCGGTGCCTCTGAACGCAGCAATGCCAAATCACACAACCACCCAAACACACCCACTCACTCGCACGCACATTAACACACGTCTTTGTGACTTGCACCTCCTGAAGGTGATTTTGAATTTTGTTGTGGAGTGGCTGCCGTTTGGACAGATTAGAGGGGGTAAAGATGATTATGCTGACAACAGGGCTTCCATTATTATGATCAGTGTGGTCTACTTTCTGAACGTGGGGTTTTAAGGCAAAATGGATGATGGATTATTAATGGATTGCAGAAGGCATAAAACATTAAAGTGGTGAAGTTCAGTTAGCACAGCATGTCACAAGAGTTGTTGAGACAGTTGTACCGGACTGCAATGTACATTTAAGAGTACAGAAAAAAAATAGTCGGGAAACCCCTCCCCATATTGAGGGTTCTTGCACGCTACAGGGACTAAGAACCAAGAGTGCAGGGACAAGGAAGCAAGTAAACAACATTCTCATGGGCTCATCCCACCCAGTACACCAGCTTTTCTGACTTCCTCCTACAGTCGACGATTAAAAAACTGCACACCGAAACCACCTGTCATCTCAACAGTCTCTTTTTCTTTGCCACGAATGTTATGAATAATTGATTCAGTTCACCTTGACACTTTGCCATCATTTTGCACGTTTCTTTTGTCTGCCTCCTTTGCAGTGACACTAGACATCATTTTGCACAGCTCTTGCACATTATCACTGCATTCATCATTTTAGCGTTGTCACTTTGCATTACTCTGCACACTTCTGATACTGATCAGATTCAGTGTCATGCTCCTGTCAAAGGAACGAGGTGAAGGAATTGCCTCTGTTTTATTGCTAGAGTCTTCCCTCTGTCTGCTTTAGTAATCAATAAGACGTGCCTTGAAAATACTACCATCCAAACTTCAATCCCTTTTCTTTCGCTTGCTGTATGAGGTCATAGCAATAACAATGTCTTGTACAACTAATAATCGTTTTCTTGTCGTTAACTTGTAGGTGTGCCAGCCAAGCGGAATGAGCTCTACTACGACTGCTGCAAAGAACCATACCCTGATGTGACATTCACTGTCACCATGCGCCGTCGGACACTTTACTACGGCCTCAACCTACTCATCCCCTGTGTTCTCATCTCTGGTTTGGCCCTGCTGGTCTTCCTGCTCCCTGCAGACTCTGGAGAGAAGATCTCACTGGGTGCGACCCAAAATAACCACAAAAACACCTTCACTCAACAGAACAATAATGCTGAAATTCAGCAGGAAACACAAAACGTGACTGATTTATAGTGCATCATGCTTCGTTATCATTGTGTTCGTAGTCCATCATGCGCTGTGGTCATCTATCTATCGATCTAGCCATCCATCCATCCATCCAATTTCAAGAGGTTCTCCAAGTCGACACGTCAAAGTCGACAAGACTGGAAATGCAAATAGTCTCAAATACGTTGCCTGCAACTGCAGCTCAAAAAGACTGAAATCTTATTGGACAAAAAAAACGGAACAAAACAAACAAACAAAACGATCCAACATCAACATACAATACAGGAAGCAATGCAGCCAAGATAAATGATGACAAATTTAAGAAAATAGACTGTTGGGAATAAATTAATAGAAATGCATGGAACAAATATGACAATCTGGATGAGGCCAATGCACCTGATTATTGTTTAGGCCATCAGAGAAGGCTTTGCTGACCCTGATTGCACACCACTGGTATAAGTTGATACTAACAGTATGGCAACATATTTGCATTTCTGCTTAATTATAAACCATCAAGTATCAGACATAAAAATGTAGATTGTTTTACAAATGTCACTAAGTGAAACAGATTTCGAGTGAAGGAGATTTCCCTTGTGGGCAACTACAGTATTCCAAACTAAATCTGCAATTGTTATTATCCTCACTTTGAAAACTCAACTTTTAGGAGCAGAGTGACAGACCTTTCTTCTCTCCTCCTTTTCCAGGCATCACTGTGCTGCTGTCTTTAACTGTGTTCATGTTACTGGTGGCAGAGATCATGCCCGCTACATCAGACTCTGTTCCTCTGATTGGTAAGTAGCGTTTTTGGTATTATCAGAATCAGAATCATCTTTATTGGCCAAGTATGTAGAACACAAAAGGAATTTGTCTCCGGTAGTACAGGCTACACTAATATACACTATAAGAAATGACATATAAGTATCGAAAGACTTTCCGTAATGTAAGGGTACCATTGTGCAGTAGTAGCACCCAATGACAGCTGTACGACAATGCGCAGAGTCACCGAGCAGAGATAAACTGATCAGTGGTGCGATGCAATAGTATGACGGTTGTGCAGTTGGTGCAAATAATCGTTGCACCATTTTTTTAAGTGACCAATAGCAGTAATTGTCGTACGACTTTAGGTGTGCAATCAGACAGAAAGTCCTTGAGCGCTTTAAAGTGTCTGGTGCTGTGGAATATAGATCAGCAACAATTGTTCAATTATGTCGAGAGCTGGAGCTACAATGATCCACAGAGGTGTGCAAAAATGCAAAGAGAAACTATAGATGATATATCAATTAATTTTTTTAACCATTTTTATCCTCTCCAATTTTAAATGTCCACACCGTACTAAAATGGGAATTTCTGTTTAGCAACCACTTGTTTTTTTTTCATGTCTGTTTCAACAAAATGATACGGATGCTAAATGTTTCATTTCCCCCTGAGAGTGTTTGTGTCATGTCGTATGTACGACAGTTCCTAGTTACTGCTAAAAATGCCCCTGAACATTTGCTGTAGGGATGCTACTGTGGAATCATTTATGACAAATGAAAGTAACATCTGTGGTGATTTAAATTGCTTGTGAAGCCACAACAAATTCACAAGAGGAAAGATGTCACGTCATTTAGCTATAACAACAAGAATGATGTCGCAAAAGCAACTAGCCCAGGGGCAAACTTGGAATGACATTTGTGCCGAGCTTGAGGCCTAACTCGTATCGTGTACACAATCTATATCGGGGAAAATCAGTATTCGACCCCCTGCTGAATTTGTAGGTTTGATCACTCCCACCACCTGACATTGCTCAGAAAAATTAAGGGCTCTGTATTAGTAGACGGTGCAGCTGCGCTTGAGCGTAAAAACTGAAACCTCTTGATTTCCCGCGTCGGTAGAAATTGGGTTTATCTTTTTGCAACGTGCAATATAAATATGCTTTACAACTGTTGGGTATTTCTTTTTTTTTTAGCTTCCAGATAATTCAGACCTTCACCAAGGAGGTACATTGAACATTTAAGATTGATTAAAACAATTCACGTATACGTCAAGAGATATGTCATGATATGAGAGGAATCGACAGATGCTGTGCTTCATGGTGGAGCTCAGTGATAAAAAATCCATTAGCACCGCCCCTGCTAAGAGACATCTTATTGCATCGCACATAGAGCTGAACTGAACCTCTGAAACTAAACAAAAATGCAACACAGCCTTCACTCTGATCGGCTTTTCTAAAACTGCTATTTTATTCTTTTGGTTGAATAACTTCCTCATTGACACCGAGTGACTGGATAACAAGTGTTTAACAAAGTGTCATATCTTTGACTGCCTCTCAGGATGTTGGTCACATGTAAATGTTAAAAGTCTTTTAATCTTTTGTATTTTCACCTTTGTTTTTGATCTGATTCATCGTTTTCAGCTCAGTACTTTGCCAGCACAATGATGATTGTGGGCTTATCTGTGGTGGTGACAGTGCTGGTTCTCCAGTTCCACCACCATGACCCCCAAGGAGGGAAGATGCCCAAGTGGGTAGGTGAAGATATTGTGTTGGCTGGCAAAATGATGCCACAGGGCAACAAAACTGATGGAAAATACCAAGATGGACAAAGATAAATACTAGTACATGAAATGGAAGACGCTAGGACAACTGTTTTAGACCAGTCTATCTAGTACGCTAGCACTCTCCTTGACAACTTCGTGAGATGAATAATTGGGGAGAGACATGATATAATCACCACAACCAGATTGTGTGTTTGTGTGTGTGTGTGTGGGGGGGGGGGGAACCCCATTGGCCTTAGTATACGTGTACCTCGTTTTAGTTGGTCATGATTTTGTCACATCATTGTTTTTCCTCGTCGCTACATCCAGGTTCGAGTTATTCTTCTCAACTGGTGCGCTTGGTTCCTGCGCATGAAGAAGCCTGGAGAGGAAAGGAAAACAAGTGGTCAGTCTGGCATTTGCTCAGCCTACAGGTATCCCCACCCCCCTCCTCACCACACCAGCACCAACAGCATTCAAATGAGCACCATACCAGGCCAGGCCTCCACCCAGTCAACTAACACGAATGGGAACATTAACCTGTACCTGGGATATCATTCCATGGGATCACAAAGCCCGTCGTTCCCACCGAGCACTGATCCGAGTGTGCTGTTGTGTGGTAGCGGCGGAGGAGGCAGCGACAGACACCCCGCCGGTTCATCCCCGGGTGACATCCATTTGGAGCAAACACGGACTTTGCTGCTGGAGCAGCTTCCGGATGTGTCTCGGATCCTGGAAGAAGTGCAGTATATCGCCAGGCGCTTTCGAGAGCACGATGAGGCCCAGGCCATCTGCAGCGAGTGGAAGTTTGCGGCGGCGGTGGTGGATCGCTTATGCCTAGTAGCCTTCTCTCTCTTCTCCATCATCTGCACCTTTACCATCCTCATGTCAGCTCCCAATTTCATCGAGGCGGTGTCCAAGGACTTCACATGAAACGGATCATTGCCCTCTACAGAGAAAAGAGTGGAAAAGCTCAAAGATTGCTTCAATGTCCAGAAACTGCTCCCGCTCCATGCTTCAACTTCTTGGGACCGACAACATCTACACGTGTCACTAACATACTGTAGTTCATATCCCCCATCTGTTTTCATTTCTTTATTTGCAGTTATGTGGAAATTGAGAAGAAGGCAATCTTTGCTTTTTGTTAATTTAACCCGACTAATTCAGTATTTTACCGCCAACATGCACATCATTCCTTGCTTTTAAGCCTCTGGTAATTTCTTTTTACTACATAGTCCTATATAAGATGGACACAGTATTTCAAGAAATCTGGAAAGATCTGGATTTATTCACACTAAAAACAATGCCTTATTGTATAAGGTGTTGTTTATTTATGTTATTGAATAAATCCGGATTCACAGTTTTATTCTCTAAATGGACATGGGAATTATTAGAAGTATATCAAACGGAAAACGAACTATGTGAAAAAGAGAAGCGAAAAATGAGAATTGAATAGGATAAAATAAAACAATAAAAGCAACTTAAAAACGAATGATATTCCCATGAGACTGTGTGAACTTTCTAAAACAAAACAAAAAAACAGACATGAGATTCACGGACTAACTGAACCCCTTATTCCCTATGTTAAGCACTAGATTTGTTCTGTATACTTGTAATTTGCAAATGCTCCATTGACTGATTGTCTCAGAATAGATGAGCTGTCGGAAGTTTGTCTTGATTTGAGTCTGCAGTGGAGGCCAAGTCTGAAGAAAGGAGGTGGCTTCGAGTAATTCATTCATTCATCCATCCATTTTCTGAACCGCTTCATCCTCACTAGGGTCGCGGGGGGTGCTGGAGCCTATCTCAGCTGTCTTGAGGCAGTAGGCGGGGGACACCCTGAACCGGTTGCTAGCCAATCGCAGGGCACACATAGACGAACAACCATCCACGCTTACAATCACATTTCAGGACAACTTAAAGCATTCAATCAATCTCCCATGCATGTTTTTGGAATGTGGGAGGAAACCGGAGGACCCGGAGAAAACCCACGCAAGCACGGGGAGAACATGCAAACTCCACACAGTAAGGCCGGAGCTGGAATTTAACCCGGTCCCTCTGCACTGTGACGTCGACGTGCTAACCACTCGACAACTGGGCCGCCCGGCTTCGAGTAATTGAAAAGAAAATTTAAAAAAAAAGAAAAAGGAAAATAAGTTCTCAGGAACGGAAGAACTACATCGCGGCTAGGAAGAGAGGCAGACCCCGGAGACGTCTGGCTCCTGGCCCCAGATGAGGAAATAAAAAAAAAAGAGGGATCCACTGCAGGCCTGGCATCTGGGCAAAGGAAGAATAAATAAGCGAGAGACAGGAATTGTCCAAAGCATTTTGCCATTGCAGACTCAAGCCAGGCCACTACCACACAAACTCTTCTGGAATTTTACAAAAAATTTTGATTGCTTCAAAAGGTTGTGCAACAAAACAAAGTCAATTGTGCCTCCATATTTGTCCAAAACTGTTTCATAAGTTTGATTCACGTTGGTTGATTTTCATGACATTTTAATTTATGACTAGTTTTGTCAGTTAAAAGTTTTCCGTGACCACTGTGAGTTTTTCTTTCATACCAACAATTTTGTGTGTGTGTATACCGACCACAGAAGGGTTACGAATCTTTCGCAAAAGGTTACAAATAAAATGCTTGCAATGCATGGGTGGTATGTGGTATGGGGAAGATTTCAAGCAACGCTTGCAGATAGTCAAATGTCCGGAAACAGTTCTTTAAATCTTAAATGTCATTGTTTTTACCATTTGGACTAAGCTTTAGCAATCTGTTTGAACAACTTCAGCAGTATGTTTGAACGACTGTCAATACAATCAAACGACGTTCCGGGACATTTGAAAGACTTTACTAACTCTTGCGAGCGACTTTGCAGTACGTTCGAACGCCATAGCCAAAATGTTCACACTTCCGTTCTAAGGCACCTATTATAGGTAAAAAATGTTTTGAGATGTTTGGAAACCAATGGGCATACATACAATGGACAGTATCTGAAGCACATTTTCATTTGATTAATATTTGAGTCAAAAGTTACATTTTATCAAGTCAGGAATTGGAACATACCAAACACGCAGTCCTGGTGATTACCCTTGGTTCCTGTTGGTCGTGCCTGGTCGGTCCGTTGGAAGAAATCTCAGTGGATTTTGTTCAGTTGACAAAGTGTAAGAAGGAAGGTGACACCGCTGCCCCTCAGAGATCATTTGCTTAGCACACGCGCACCGCACACAAAATTCTTGTGAGTGGAATGAGGCAGCTGGGATCAAAATATATTTCTTACATGTCGTTTAAAAAAAATCTGATGGAAAGTCATCCCTCACCAATAACAACGCCAAGTAATGCCAATAAGGATGTGGTGGTGGTACACATGTACCATCACAGATGCTGGCTTTTGACCTTTGTGCTGGGCACAATCCAGATTGTCCTTTTTGTCTTTGGCCAATTTGAAATGTGGACTCATCAGACCAAAGCACACTTTTCCACTTTGCATCAGTCCATCTCAGTTGAGGTCAGGCCTAATAAAGCTGGCAACATTTCTGGGTGCTGTTGGTATACTGTATGGATTTCGTATTTGCATGGCTGAGTATTCATTTGCAGATGAAGCGACAAAGTGTATTAACGGAAAATGTTTTTCCTGAAGTGTACCTGAGCCCACGTGACAATATCCTTGACGCCTGAGACATCAAAGGTCACTGTCATTCAATGTTGTTTTTCGGCTTGCCATTTATGGGCAGAGATTCATCTCGATTTTCTGACTCTTTCGATGTTTTTATGGACCATAGACAATGCTTCAGTGCAAAATATAAGTGCCGATGCTCCCCTTCTTTGACTGTTGCCAGCTAAATTAGGCCGTGGGTAACAGTAGGTCATTAGGTTACTGAACTGATAACAACTGATCGTGCATTTTTATCAGGAAAATTATGTATATATGAATAGAATAAAACAGGGAAATGTATGTGTGTGTGTGTGTGTGTGTGTGTGTGTGTGTGTGTGTGTGTGTGTGTGTCTGTGTATGCTTTTGTGTATCACAGGCACAATCCAGATTGTCCTTTTTGTCTTTGGCCAATTTGAAATGTGGACTCATCAGACCAAAGCACACTTTTCCACTTTGCATCAGTCCATCTCAGTTGAGGTCAGGCCTAATAAAGCTGGCAACATTTCTGGGTGCTGTTGGTATACTGTATGGATTTCGTATTTGCATGGCTGAGTATTCATTTGCAGATGAAGCGACAAAGTGTATTAACGGAAAATGTTTTTCCTGAAGTGTACCTGAGCCCACGTGACAATATCCTTGACGCCTGAGACATCAAAGGTCACTGTCATTCAATGTTGTTTTTCGGCTTGCCATTTATGGGCAGAGATTCATCTCGATTTTCTGACTCTTTCGATGTTTTTATGGACCATAGACAATGCTTCAGTGCAAAATATAAGTGCCGATGCTCCCCTTCTTTGACTGTTGCCAGCTAAATTAGGCCGTGGGTAACAGTAGGTCATTAGGTTACTGAACTGATAACAACTGATCGTGCATTTTTATCAGGAAAATTATGTATATATGAATAGAATAAAACAGGGAAATGTATGTGTGTGTGTGTGTGTGTGTGTGTGTGTGTGTGTGTGTGTGTGTGTGTGTCCCTGTTTAAGCTTGTGTATGACAAAGATTGTGTTTGTCAGCCCGCTGCCATAGCACCGAGCTGGATGCACAAAGCCAACGTGTTTGCACAGCATGCCCTAAATGACGCAAATAGGAAGCTGCTGCACATTGGAGTTGTGGCGGAAACATTTCCTGATTTGATGATCAGCACTCCATACAGCGCCCCTGCTTGTTAACCATGAACATTTGTGCGTCTGCTCACCAAGCTTGCTTTACCCATCTATTTTTTCCTCATTGCCCGAGGCTAGACATATTACTCTAAGTCTCCTGAACACATTTATCCAGTAACTTTCTACACATAGTGCCTGGATATCTTGAGTCGACTAATTCAGTGTGTGGAGAGACGATCAGGATGTACTCTGAACAAGCGTGTACTTGATGAACTGTTTTTGGATCATTCATGGCTCACTTGGTACCACAATAACCGTATGTGCAACGGCAGAGACGCTGACTGAAGCCACTCCATTGTGGTTTATGTTATATTTATTTGAAAATCTCAAAAATGTGTGCCTAAATTGGAAAAGACTTAGTCATTCAACTGGCACAAGAGAGCAGATGCTTTAGATATCCAATAGTCGCTTGGCCGGTTTGACGGAAGCATTACAGTCACAACAAAATTAGTTGAGTGTCCTAGAAGGAGAGAAAAATGAAGAGTGGGCAACAAACTTGTCATGCTTCAATTATGACGTATATATTAGGCATTATATGTGAGGGTCCCGGATGAAATATGCACCTGTGGTCGAAAGAGTTCCTGCTCTTGCTGAGGTCTTGTATAGTGGCGCATGGTAGAGCTCGGGCTCGGGGTCGTAGTTCTGTTGTGGCTCAAAGTGCACCACTGGAAGAATGGCATTCATCACTCGAGGTAATGCATCTTCGATCACCATATTGTCATCATCCCAGCGACTCGCATCCATGAACATGCCGTGTACCAGCACACCATTCTCAGGCATTGGCAACTACAACCACAAATAAGAAACACCGAAGGTAATTGTGTTGTACTTTGTATTCATCCTACAATGCATTTACGATTTTTAATGATTGCAGGTGGGTCTGAAATGTATGGCCTGGAATAAACTGGCCTTCAATGGATATATATGTGCACATCACTCAAGAAGAGGTTCTGTTGTATCAAAGATTCAGGACAAAATCACTGTTCACATCGAAATGTTGAACTCATGTACGAATAGGAACAAGCTGAATGGGAATGATAAAGCAAATAGTGCTCGTGAAGTCAAATGATCGTTAATGTGGCAACATACACATTCAGACTTGGATTTTTGTTTTTTTTAATTCAGTTTATACAGAAAGGATTTAACCTGGCGCAAGTCCATCTTCCGTGTGGAGTCTGACAGACTTGCTCTATGTACTGGCAGGAGGCTTGTGACCAGATGAAATGTGTACTAGCACACTTGGAGAAAATGGGAGCATTTGCGAGTATACTGGTCTCAGTGTCTCACCCTGCTTGTGACTTTAACGCCCATCTTCTGTTTAGATTGGTACTTCTAATCAAGTATTGCATTCAGGTACTTTATACAAGGCTGATTTTTACATCCCTCAAAAAATAAATAGTTTTGAAAAAGGCATGAAAAATACGTGGTGAGTTTGCAGTACTGTACCTCCGTGTCCATGGGAAGTTCCGCGTTGCTGTTCAGATTGCGCAGAGCCTCGGCCACGGCGATCTGGTCTCTGTACACGGGCACCATGTTGAAGCGGAAGTTCAGCTCATCGATGGGCAAATTGTATCGTCGGGCGTGATTCTGCAGAACTGCTACATGACAACAGTTAAGAGAGAATGTCTGTGTTACCTTGGAAAGCGCTTTCCCATTAAACACTCTTGTTGACGTTAGATTACTTGTAGCTGTGAAAAATGATTTATGACATATAGTATCAATTGCCA